CCTAACCATTGAGCAGCCACGCTGTGAGGTGGAGCGCTGCTAGGTTGGGGTGGAGGAGGTGGCCCTGGTCCTGGGAGAGGAGGTCCGGGCGGGATGGCAATGGCCACAGCAGGGCGACTGCCAGGCCTGTGAGGGTCCCGAACCAATGCTGCCTGGGCCATGCCAGGGCAATCAGGAGGACCCGGGACCTGTCCGTCTTTATCTTTTCCAGGACCTTGCCTATGAGTGGGAATGGCGGGGGGAGGAAGGCATAGAGAAACTGGCCCAACCAGGACAGGAGGAAGGCATCGGAGATAGCGCCCTGTCCCAGTCCCCCCTGGAGCAGAACCAGGGACAGCGACGGTTCTGCCGAGTCACAAACAGGTCCACCTGGAGAGTTCCCCACTCTTGGAAAAGTCTGAACACCACCTCTGAGTGTAGAGACCATTCGTGCTGAGAGGAGAAGTCCCTGCTCAAGCGATCTACCCGTGAGTTTCGGGCGCCTGGTAGGTGGTAGGCTTGTAGGGAAATGTCGTGGGCTATACAGAAGTCCCACAGCCTGAGCACTTCCTGACAGAGGGCAGAGGATTGGACCCTGCCTTGCCTGTTGATGTAAAACATCGAGGCCGTGTTGTCCATGAGAACCCTGACCACCCTGCCCTCCAGGTGCAAGCAAAAAGCCATGCACGCCAGCCGGCCGCCCTGAGCTCCTTGACGTTTATGTGGAGGGCCAGGTCCTGTGCAGACCAAAGACCTTGAGTCTGAACGTGTCCCACATGGGCTCCCCACCCCAGATCTGAGGCTTCGGACACCCAGTTCCAGAGATGGGGGCCTGCCTCTGAACAGGACCCTGTGGACTGAGGAGGACCACCACCGTAGGGAGGCAATCACTGGGTCGGGCACTGTGAGGACTTTGTCCATCCTGTCTCTGGCCTGGAAGACCACCGAGGCCAACCAGAACTGGAGGGGGCCTCATTCCTGAGTGTGGCATGACAGACCACATATGTACACGCCGACATGTGACCCAAGAGCTGGAGGCATGCTCTGGCCATTGTCACTGGAAACCTTGTGATTATGTCAATGAGCCCTTTCAGGGTCCCGAACCTGTCCGGTGGGAGAGAGGCTCTGAACGACGTGACATCCAGGACCGCCCCGATAAACTATGCCTTTTACCGGGACTAATGTGGACTTGGTGTCGTTTACCAACAGGCCCAGAGCGGCACACGTGGACAGAAGGAGTGCCACGTGATCCCGCACCTGCGATCAGGAGCTGCCATTAACCAGCCAGTTGTCCAGATAGGGGAAGATTTGGACCCCACGGCGCTTGAGGTAGGCTGCCACCACAGACATACACTTTGCAAATACCCTGGGGGCAATGAACAGGCCAAATGGGAGGACCGTAAATTGGTAGTGCTCCTGCCCAACCGTGAAATGGAGGAAGCATCTGTGCTGCTCGAATATATGGATGTGGAAGTATGCATCCTGCAGATTGAGGGTGGCGTACCAGTCCCCGGGATCCAGGGAGGGAATTATGGAGGCCAGGGAGACCATGCGGAACTTGAGCTTCACCATGTACTGGTTCAAGCCTCACAGGTTCAGGATCCGCCTGAGCCCTCTTTTGGCCTTCAGGATAAGGAAACAGCTGGAGTAGTACTCCTTGCATTTGAACTCCACTGGCACCACTTCCACCCCTCCTAGGTCAAGGAGCCGCCTCACCTCCTGCTCGAGCAGAGCCTCGTGAGAGGGGTCCCCCAGGAGGGATGGGGGCGAAGGGTGGTTGGGCGGGGTAGAAGTAAACTGGAGGGTGTAACCCCGAGAGAAGGTGTTGAGGACCCATCAATCCGAGGTCAGCCAGGACCACTCCGGGAGGAAGCACACAACCAATTGGAGAAGGGAAGCTTAATTGTGGGTGGATCCCTGATGAGAACTGGCAGGGCGCCCCCAGGCGTCACATCAAAAATGCCATTTCCCTGCCTGTTTGCCCTTGGAGGACCCAGGCTTGGAGGCAGGTTGAGACTGCCTCTGCAGGCACTTCTTATAGTCCCGCGACTTTTTATAAGTGGGCTCATATTTAGAGTGGGTGGCCTGGGCAGGCCTTGAACTTAGGTCTAGCTAGAGCCGGAACATAGAGACCCAGAGTCGTGCAGGAATCTTTCAGGCCATGCAGTTTTATATCTGTTTCTTATGCAAACAGAGCTTTGTTGTCAAACGGGAGGTCCTGCAAGGAGTTCTGTGCCTTGCTGGACAGCCCAGAGAGCAGGAGCCACAAAGTCCTTCTCATGGACACTGCGGAGGCCATGGACTGCGCGGCCATGTCCCCCGCATCCGATGCTGCCTGCCCAGGCAGCCACTGTGCCCTCCTCCACCAGCGCTTTGAACTCCTTCCTGTCACGCTCCTGGAAGGAGTCCTCGAACTTGGGCAAAGTGCCCCACAGATTGAACTCATACCAGGGGACCAGGGGAGCCTGGTGGTTTGCCACCCATAACTGGAAGCTTGAGGACAAACACATTTTCCTTCCAAATGAATCCAGCCTCCTTGAATCTTTATTTTCGGAGTAGGGGCTGGTTGGCCCTGCTGCTTCCTGTGGTTGACTGACTCGACCACCAGGGAGTCACTCTCTTAGAGATGAGGCCGGGGTTTGCCACAGGGCATTTGAAATTCTCACCACCCCTTTGTGGAGAGGCAAGGCCACCCTGCCCAATACTGAGGCAGACAGGACGTTAAACAGGGAGTCCGAGGGTTCCTCCACCACCTCTGCCTGGAGGTTGAGGTATGATGCCACCCTTTTCAATAGCTCTTGGTGGGCCCTAGAGTCCTCCTGCGGGATGGAGGGAGGAGGAGCTGTAATCACCTCATCCGGGGAGGGCGAGGAGGCGGGTGCAGTACTTTGCGTGTACACCGGCACTGGAGGATCCACCACCTGGTCGGTCTCCGGGCATGGTACCGAGGATGAACGTCCCACCGACTCCTTCCTCGGAGGCCAGGAGAGGGAGGTTGACGGCCTTTCTGAGGCTCCGGCCACCGAGCGAGCCCCCACCAGGGGCTGCGTCGGGGGCCATGGTGCCCACTGGTACCACTGTGCTGGCCACGGGGCCCGGTGCCACTGCACCTGCTGTGGCACTGGGGGACCGGGCTGATTGGCCTGGCTGGCCTGACCCATTGATGGACAGCTATGAAGGGAGACCGGACTGATGTATGACCAGCTGCTGTCCCTGGACTGGGAGGAGCGGTGGCACCGGGAGCGGTGCCAACTCCGAGACCGTGAACTCAACGTGGAGGACCGGTACCGTCGGTAACAGCTGCTCCGCGATCGGCTCCAGTGGATGGATCCACGACTGTGACTTGCCGGAGATCGATGTCCGGGGCTGTGGGAGGGTCCTGGAGCGAGAGGACGAACGGGAACGGCGTCGATGTTCATGTCATGACCGGCTATGATAGCCCCTCTGAGATGAGGACCTTTGGACGGGGAGTGGTGCCGACTAGTAGATGGCGAGGGGTCACCGCGCACCAACACCGCGGTGCCCAGTGCCGACTCGGAGCGGCACATCGGAGTCGGGGTCAACGCCGACTCCATCAGGATGACCCGGAGCCTAATCTCTCTCTCTCTTAGTCCAAGGCTTAAACAACTTGCAAATCTTGCAGTGATAGCTTAGATGGGTTTTCCCCAAACAGCCCGCGTGCATATCACTCACTGGCATAGGTCACCTACAAGTGTCGCACGACTTAAAACCCAGGGCGTGGGGCATGCCCCGGCCCAGGCGTGGTAGCTAAACTAATCAAACTAACTAACTACAGATATCATACACTGAACGAACAAGCAGTTCTGGGGACAAGCTGCAGCAAAGCTGGAGCACAGCAGTTCTGAAGCACCTTCACTGGCAGCAAGAAAGAACTGAGGGTGGGGGGAGCGTGCAGCGCCCCTTATACCGCACCATGGAGGTGCCACTCCAGGGATCGCTAGGGACGCTCCCCTATGGGTACTGCTAAGGAAAAAGCTTCTGACTCCGGTGCAGCACGCACACCTATTGTGGAATACACATGAGCAATCACTCAAAGAAGAAATACCAGTGTTCAGGCTTCTGTGTGTGGGACCTGACCCCTGACCACTAGGGGCTGGCAATGCTGACACTGTTCAGGGGGAAGCAATTCCAGGTGTAGGGGATGGCAGGTGAGGGGGGTTCTCACCACACATGTGCACTCAACCGAGCGTGCTCATGCTCAGGCAGTAAGGCCTAGACCCTCAAAGCTATTTAGGCTCCTAAGGCCGACTGACTTTAATGGACATTGGGAGGCAGTCCTAGTACCTTTCAGGATCTGGGCCTAGAAGCCTTAGCACTTAAGGAGGGTGAGACGCAGCTGCTGCTGCTGAGGTGAGCTCTAGCCATTAACTCAGTCAAGCTAGAGCAGGGAGCTATTCAATCCCTGCCTGTTAAACAAGGCCGTATCCAAAATGGGCCTGTAATTCTGAATGCCTCTGTCTCTGGAGGCCAGCTGGGCCAGCTTTTGCTGAATTGTCCACAGTTCTGCGCATTCACAACACCCGCACCCAGCAGAGAGCTCTGGATAAACCCCCATGCCACCCGCACCACCAACTATTCTAGTGCCCACACCACATTGAGTCACTCAGCCATAGACAAATCTGCAGCCAATTCAGTCATGCAGCGCGCTGCCTCCTGCCCAGAGACGCTAAGTACCACCCCATGCGTGGGGCCCAGTGTTCACCCCAACTCTCATGTTGCCACTAGGTGGCTGTAGGGGATTCCCCCTGTCACCCACGCTCAGCCCACCCTGCGTCCCCAGCACTGAGGACACCACGCATGTGGCTTAGCGAGGCTCTGGGTGGAGGCCGCCGCATTTGGGCTCCTGCAGGGGTCCCAGGTCAGAGCTCAGCTGATCCATCTGAAAAGGCCTCTTCCCATTGCTCCATCAGCAGCCTGGCTCCCTGGCGCCGTGGCTACTGGGTCAGTTCTGTCCTGGGCCGGTTCCAGCAGCCCCTCCTGCTGCACCCCCAGGTCCCGGCCTACTTCAGGAACACCAGCAGGAAGAAGACAGAGATGATGAGGATGAGGATGCCCATGGCGAAGCACAGGCGCAGATTCTCCACCGAGGAGATGGGTGGTTGAGCATCCGCAGACGCCGCTCGGCCTGGGAGCCCCACCAAGAAGGCGTTCTGCACCTCCTGCATGTGGAGCCCGCTCCAGGCCCTGGAGCTGCCCGGCACCGCCAAGCCGTACGGGGAGACCACGCTGCTTATAGTGAAGATAGATGAATGGGTCACGTAGTTAAACTCCATGTCCAGGGAGAGAGAGGAATCGCTTGTGGAGTACTCCAAGGTGCTGGGGGCCGCCTCTTCCTCCTCCTGCGCAGGCTGCACAGGGCCGATGCCTCCCGCAGAATGTCCTCGTCGTTCTGCAGGGCCTGCAGCCCCTGCTCGGGCACCAGGGTCACCATCCTGCAGAAGGGGCAGACCACAAAGGAGATGGCCTGGGCCTGGCAGACCAGCTTCCTGAGGCAGGAGAAGCACAGCGAGTGGTGGCACAGCAGCAGCTTGGGCACCCGCCACTTGGAAGCCACTTTGTAGGCCTCGTAGCAAATCCCACACTCCCTGGGACACACGTCCAGCAGGACATCAGCCAGAGCCAGCGCCATGAGGCCTGGGCTGGGGTGGGACCTGCTGCCTTGGGACCTGTCCTGGGCAAGCAGCAGGGTTCTAGCTGAGCTCGCTGGCTCAGGCCGTTACTGAGGGCCCATCCCCAGGGCTGCAGGAGCTGGACTGGCCTTGGCTCCCGCACCAGAGGAGCTGGGTGCTGAGGAAAGTTTCCCCCAGGGATGAAATCAGCCAGTAAGAGAGTCCTGGCTGCCCTGCTGGCTGTCTGTCTGGGTCCTCGGATCCTGCCCTGAGCCAGCCCTTGGCCTGTGGCTTTGCCGCTGCAGAGAGCGCAAAGTCCCCGAGGCGAGCCAAAGCCAACACAGGCAGGGGCAGCTCTATGTATTTTGCCGCTCTAAGCATGGCAGTCAGGCAGCCTTTGGCGGCGTGCCTGCGGGAGGTCCGGCTGGTAATGTGGATTCGGCGGCATGCCTGCGGGAGGTCTGCTGGTCCCGTGGCTTCGGCGTACCCACCGCCGAATTGCCGCCGAAACCGTGGGACCGGCGGACCTCCCGCAGGCATGCCAATGAAGGCTCTCTGATTGCCGCCCCCACTGCGACCGGCAGGCCGCCCCCCCCACCCCCCGCGGATTGCCACCCCAGGCACGCGCTTGGTGCGCTGGTGCCTGGAGCCGCCCGTGAACACAGGCAGCGGAAGCAAGAACGGCGTGGCTGCCTCAGCTCCTCGCTGTGACCCACCCGTGCTGGCAACAGCCCTAGGGAGCCAGCAGTGCCCTGCAATGGAGAGACCTGCCTGGAGAAGCCAAGGTGCTTTCTGAGCCCAGCAGGAGCCTTTCAGTGTAGACGTCACCTTCGCTGACCAGAGGGCTTCTCCCATCAGCATAGGCAATCCACCTCCCTGAGAGGCGGTTGCTAGGGCAACGGGAGAATTCTTCTGTTGACCTAGCACTGTCTACACCATGGGTTAGGTTGGCTTAACTACTCTACTCAGGGGTCTGGATTTTTCACACCCCTGAGCGACATGTTTAGGCCAACTTAATTTTCTAGTGTAGACTAGGCCTGAGGCTGCTGTGCTGTAGCTGTGCCACTCAAGTGTAGACACTTCCTATGTTGAGGGAAGGGGATTTTCCAGTGCAGTGGTAGACCCACTTCCTCCAAGGTGGTAGCTAGGTTTAAGGTGGAAGAATTCTTTCATTCACCCCAGGCTAGCTCAGTCTAATCTCAGGACTCAGAGCATAACATTTCTGACTGTTCTGACCGACGTCATTTCTAAGCATAGTCCAAGCCGGAATAACAGGCCAGGGCTGGGGAGTCGCGCACCACAGGGCGCTGTTTGCACAGGGCCAAAGACTGGAAATGGGACTGGCTGGTCACTGGCTTAGCCAGGCTGTGTTAACAGCAGTCACTGATATGTTCAGCTTCATCGCCCCTCCTTAGCAGGGGCCATGGTGTATCCACACCAATCTGCACCCTGGCAGCTGTGACTCCTCGGGGGTGGGAGCAGAGCTTGAGAGGAAAGTGCTGGCCAAACAAACACCACCAGCAAAGTGTGGAGGGGGAGGCTGAGCTGGATGGGGTACCCCCCCATTGTCAGACATATGTGTGTGTGTGTGTGTGTTCGTGTTCATGTTTGTTCTCACAGCCCTCCGCATTGCTGGTATTCCCCGCAGTTAGCCTGGAACAGACGATGCCTGGCTGGTGTGGCTTATTGTTATTATTTATTGTATGTCTTACCATCACTCCTGTGAGTCTCTGCCATCAGCCAGGGTGCTAGGCGCCATGCAAGTACAGGACAAAACGTCCCTGCCCCAAAGCGCTGACACTCGAAGCAGCCCAGACAGACCCTGGGCGGGGCAGGGAGAGCAGAGAGCACCCCAGCAGGAACAGTGGCAAATTGCATGGCAGTGCCATGGTTTTTTTGGGGGGGAGTGCGATTTGAAGGGAATAAGCTAAAGGGAAGGGAGAGGAGCCCTGAGGGGAAAAGGGTGAGTGGTTGGGGCGGCAGAAAAGGGTAAGGGGAATGATGCTGAGGTGATATGGCTGTGAGGGATGGAGCAAACAGGTAGTCAATCAACTCAGGGCAGAGAAGTCATAGAATATCAGGGTTAGAAGGGACCTCAATTTTTTGCCCCAGATCTGTAAATGGCCCCATCAGGAATTGAACTCACAATGCTAGGTTTAGCAGGCCAATGCTTAAACCACTGAACTATCCCTCCTCACCCCCACACTGGGAGGCACCTGCCAGTGGGGATTCCCTGCCACATTTCCCACTAGTCTGCTTCCTTTCCCCCCTTGCTGTGCAGGGCTGTTTGGTGCAGTATGGGACTTGGCCTAATGCCACAGCCTTGAGCTCACTACAGATTAGTACGTCACCCCTCCCCCCAATCCCCAGCAGCCGTTTCAGTTCCGCTCCCTGCCCTGTCCCGCTCCCCCAGGCTCAGCCGGATCTTGCAAAGCCCTGTCTGTCAGACCCTACTTGACGTACTGGCCGGTAGGAGCAGAGCTGGGAGGGGGGTGAGGCAGCTCAGAAGACCTGGCCCAGCAGCAAAACCGGTGGGTCTTTGATCCAGCAGCCCAGGTCCCCACTGCTGTGGGTGGGAGCACACGCAGCAGCCAGGGACATGCTTTTGCCCCTACCTTTCCAGCAGCCATCCCAGCACCAGCATAGCTGCTGAACCGAGTCAACCCAGCCAGCCAGCAGCAGGCGAGACTCTGAGGAAACTGCTTCCACTTGCTGGGGCTCTCCAACTGCGCTCCCCCAAGCTGCCAGCCCACCCATCTGGCACTTGGCGCAAAGGGCAAGGAAACACAGTATTGCATTGGGATGAGCCGCTCACCAATCGCGGGAGTCACTGATTACCGTGTGTGTGACAACAGCCTTGGAACAGGGAACGTTCAGGGAAAGGGGAAAGCCCTGGGCCACTTCTGCCATCCTCTTGTCAGCTCCCATATTGAGCCCAGCCCTGCCCCCACGCCGGGAGGGTGATAGCACCTTGGGGTTCAGTGGTAAACCCCCATGTGTGCTGCATGCTGCAGTGCAGACTGGAGGGGACCTGCAATGAGGGGTTCCCGGGCCGCAGTGAGCTCAGGAAGGGCCCCTCTCCTCCACCATGGCTGGAGTCAGAGCACTTACCTCAGCTCTGCTCCCAGGCTTTGCTTTGACCCCCTCTACTGCCCAGGCGTGGGGTGGAATCCTCCTCCCTCTTTCCTCACCCCCAAGTGCCTAGCTGGTTATCTGCAGAAGGCAAATACAGCGACTGGCTGAGATGGCTCAGGCCTGGCCCCACTATTTGTCCCCTCCCCGCCCCCACCAGGCAACTATTGACATGAGGATGTTGAAATCCAATTTCTCCTCCCCAAGGATCCTGGGGTTGCAGGACAAAGCATTGCAACAGTGACCCTCTACGTGCTGCAGCACATGCAGGGCTCAGGCGGGGTGGTGGGGGGGGGGGGGGCAGCATAGCACTCCCAGGCCTCAGCTTGCCCCAGAGTTTATGGCTGCTCTGAACCTCCAGCTCTCCCCCATCAGGCATTTCAACCAAGTGCCCAGAGGTGCTGGGTTGGCACAGCGGCTCTCTCCCAGGGGACTCAGTCCCCATCCAACAACTGCCTCCAAAGAGCTTCCTGAAGGTGCAGAATCAAGCCATCAGAATCAGAAATCAGTTGCCTGGGCTACCTTGACCCACCCCCTTGTGTGTATGCACCAGGATTCAGTCGTCACAGGCTCTGTTCTCCACAGGCACCTCCTTATTTCTTTTATCCATTGTGGTCAGCAGGCAGCCCCGGGCATTATTTACCACAGCACCCTGCACTGAACACAAGAGTAGTTGCTTCCTCAGGTGCTTTGCTATGTTGCTTTCACCACATCACCTCAGTCCATCATAGCGATTCATGAATTCAGCTTCACACCACCCCCTGCAAGTAGGTGGTAGTGTCATCATCCGCATCCAGCTGGTGAACACAGCACAGATCACAGAAGGCCAAAACCGTCAACAGTGGACACTTGCTTTGGTTGCCCAACTTGTGACACAGTTCCTGCTTTTCCCAGCCAGTTCGTGTTTTTATAGCCCGTTCTGTGTGCGAAGCAGACTGCCAATTGACCTCAGCTGCAGCGCTTGCAGATCCAGCCCCAGGGTACAGGTGGTGGGTGGCTATGGCTAGCGGGGGCTCAGCCCCCCCAATCTATCAGCCCAGCTCCCCAACTGCCCCTCACATGCATGTCCAGCTCGAGGGGAAGCCCTGACCCAACCTGTGGTGAGAAAGAGCCAAAAGGCTGGGGGTGGGGGGAAGCCAGGCTCAGGCCAGCCCCCTCCATGGGACAGGACATAGCTAGGTGGGCTTGCTATGCAGCCCTCCTGTGGCCACGGGATAGGAGCCAGCACTAGCTTGCTCTCCGACAGCCCCCAGTGAGTGCAGGGCCCAGGGAGCTCACTGTCCTACCCCCACCCTCCAGGTAGCTGTTAAGTGTTAGCTTCCCCAACTGTAGTCACCCTCCCTCCGCCTATGGGCCAGGGGCGTGCGCTGGGCACCCAGAAAATGAACTGTGAAAAGATTGGTGTAAGTGACATGCCCATCGCCACTCACAAACTCTGTGGCAGAGACAGGGATAGAATTGAGTCCTCCAGGGCAGCATTCAGCTGCTATAACCACAAGATTCTTTTCTCTTCCTACAGCCCTGCCTCATGCATGGCACAACGCCCAGCTTCTGCACCGAATGTGATCATGAGAACACTGCATATGCACAAGGAGGCTGAATCCCCCGCACCCCCAATCATTCCCCTTCCAACCTCCGTTCTGCACTTCAATCAGGCTGTAGGAGCGATAGTCTTTGCTCTCAGTACTCGTGCCTGGCCCCCCAGCAGCTAGGAGCAGCAATTGCGGGAGAAGTCCTGCTCAGCCTGATAGCTCTTCACTCAGAGAGAGAGAGAGAGAGAGTGTGTCTCTCTCTCTCTCCCCAATGCCACCCCCTGCCACATTTCACATTCCCGCTCCAGAGTGAAACGGGTCAGAGTTTTTGATTGACATGGGCACAAGAACGTATTTTACCTGATCTCATTCTGAGAAGTGGCTGAGTGGGTTTGGCTGAAGCTTCCCAAAACAATTCAGCCTGAGGCAGACACTGGGCCTGGGAAATATCAGCCCAAATGCATAACGTTTGGCAAAGTTATAAGCACTGAAAACAGGGTATTGTAAAGGGAAGCATCGGGTCACCTTAACAATAGGGGGCACTGGCAACTCTGTACAGCATTGCAGGGAGGGGTCGTGTGGAAGAGCATTGGTATTGACTGACTCCAGAGTAAATCTGCTTCGTTTGAAAGTAAAGAAGTCTCTTTCCTAGCCCCAACCCCTAGGATCCAAGAACCAAGCCAGGCTCCATCATCTCAGGCATGAAGCACAGACAAATCCAAACCCTTACTGATTCAGGTACACCTACCCGTGCTGCAGTCACACCTTGAATTGCCCCCGAGTGCAGTACAGCCACAGCAACCTTAGCAGCATCAGCTCTGCACGGCTAACAGGAGAGACATGCAGGGACAATGTAGCATAGCCAGTAAAATCTGTACATCTGGGAAGGATGAAGGGCCAAGGTGGATAACCAACTGAACATGCACTCCCAGTGCGATGCTGTTGGCTAACACACTATGGAAGGGAATAGTTAGGAGGAGGGAGGTGGTATTACCTCTGTACATGGCCCTAGTGAGACTATCACTGGATACTGCATCCAGTTCTGCTGTCCACACGTTAAAGAAAGATTTAAGATTTGGAAATGGTTCACCAAAGAGCTACAAGAATTGCCTGGGGCCTGGAACCCCCCGTGAGAGCTCAGTGAGAGACTGAAGGAGTTCAATCTATTTAGTTTATCCAACAGAAGGGGCAGAGGTAATTTCGTCATGGTCTCTCGGTACCTACATCGAGGTCTTGCTGATACTACAGGGCTCTTTAATTGAGCAGACTGACAAAAGTAAAATAAGCTGCAATGGTCAGAACTTGAAGTCAGCAAAATTCAAACTGAAAACAAGATGCAAAATTTAAAGGAAGTGTAATGAGCCCAGGCTGCTTCCCCATCACTTGGTGTCTAAAATCAAGACTGGCTGGCTTTCCAAAAGCTGCACTTAGGAATTGAGCTAGATCCACAAACCACTGGGTTAGGTTCTGCAGGAGCTCTGACTAGATGATCAGCACGCTCCCTGCAGGTCGCAGAGCTGCGCAATAAAAAGGTACCATTTTTACATCAGCTCTTCCAACAGTAGCTGCACTCTGAGAGGGTCTTTGGGGAAATTCTCTCCAGTATCTGTCCAAGGCTGGCAGCAGGAGGTTGGCCATCAAGGGCTGGGGATGGCAGGGCACCATGGAACCAACAGGGAAAGGAGGGAAGCTGGCAAAGAAGTAGGCAGCCTGCTGGTGGGGGAGGAAAGGTGAGGTGGGTAGGAGGGAGGCTGCTGAGAGGGAAGATCCGTCCATTGTCTGCAGGACCCACCTTCCTCTCTAACTTACAAGGTGTGACCAGAACACCCAGGGTGCAAGGGAGGCTTCAGGTGGGGACATGAGGCTTGACCTGTGTTACCAGCATAGGCCCCCCCTCAATGGCATTGCCATAGGCTGGGCAACAGCAGGGGACTCAGCCCAAGATGCAGAGCCTTAGCTGTTGCAGCTGCCACAGGCTGTGGAGGGAGCGCTAGCCCCTAGCAGGGCGATTGGTTTGTTATCGTTCAGTTTCATGCTCCTTTCTTTTCTTTGCCAGAAAGAAGACGCAAATAGGTCTGAACAACCAGCAGCCAACAATTCCCAGCAGCGACAGGCGAGACTCATTCCCACAGTCCAATCCCACCTACCACATGGGGGGAGGGCCAAGAAACACCTTCTCCTAGCTCTGCATTTTCCAAGGACCTTTGGCTTGAGGCTTGTTTATGGGCAGGCTGTGGACCTTGCTTCTTGGCTTGGTCATTCATTACCTCTGCCTTACCTTTGGCACAGGTGGCTGGGCAGTGTTACAGAAACACCTGTGATGCTGCATTCACACATGCCAGGCCTTGCCCCCGGAGCAGCAGCTGGAGGATCTAACCTGACAGTCCCAGGGCAGAGACACAACGATGGGACGTGGGCCTTTCCCTACAGACACTGCCACGTTTCCAGCAAACAGCTGCACGTAAGGGCTTGTCTTTGCTGGAGCCTCCCTCCCTGCCCCCACCCTGTCCCCCAACACAGCCCAGTTCACAACCTGCCTGAGCTCTGAACCTGCCAGAGCCAGAGGGGCACTCTCCTCCCCCTGCCCCTCTGAGGCGCTCGCAGTCCCTGGGGCATGGGAGCCAGGGGCAGGAAATTCAAGCCAGGCCTTGCCAGGACCCATCCTTTGAAGGCATTTATTCACATACAGGCTCAGTAGTGAAACACATATGTGTGATGGCTATACTATGCTCTTAGCCTTCCCCAAGGGCTTCAGGCACCTCAGTGCCACTGGGAAGGGTGCTGTGGAAAGGCCTGGCTCACAGCAGGGGAGGGAGCCTTTCCAAAGTGGGTGGGTGAGGTGGGAGCTAGTAAACAGGTGCTGGCTGGGCAGCTCTGGCTACTGAACTCGCAAGGCCCATAGCACCATGGCCTACAGATCGGCCCCAAGGGTCAGTGGGGAGATGGCTCTGGGGGCAGGGGGAGTTGTGGGACACAGCCTCCAGCTCATTGGGAACTCAGACCCCAAACTCACTTGCCAGGGTCAGTGCCAAGTTGGGCTGGATGAGATGTGGGGATGAGGTGCTGTGCATGCTGCTGCCATTGCCATAAGCCCATGCTGCCTTCTGACCCCCCGCCACATTCTGGGGGCACAGCAACTGTTCTGTGAGAGGGGTTCTGGGAGCGGTCAAAGCTGCTTTCCTAGACTGAGCCAGGGACCAGCCTGCTCTCTGAGGCAAAGGCAGAGGGGCCTTTGGGTTTTTCTTGCCTAGACCCAATGCTGACTTTGGATCCCCAATCAGACATGTCCCAAGATGCACCTCCTCAGAGTCCTCAGCCTGGAACCGCCCCCACATAGGGTCCTGGAGCCTAGAGAGAGCGGGACAGCCGGGGAAGATGCCAAAGGAAGCTCCAGCATGAACCTGCTGCTCCAGCACTGAGCCCTGTATCAGGGAGGAAGGCCCAATTCTGCCTCTCCCCACTCCGCCCCCCCACAGAAGGCCCTGGGAGCGAAGGGGACTCAGCCACCCACAGGATCAGGACCCAGGAATAAAAGGCCCTGGGGATGGGGTGAGCGACCTCTGTGGGACCCCTGCCCCATCTCAATCTGAGTTCATTTAGGCAGCTCCTCCATGTCATTGGTGTGGGTAGTGCCCCCTGCTGTGCTGAGAAACAGGCCCTGGGACCCCACTGACATGGCCCTTCTTCCAGCCCTCCTGGGTCCCTCAGATGGGAAGTGACCCCCTCCCCCCCCCAGACCAGGGATGCTCGTAATGCCACCTGACCATGGCACAGAGAGAGCATGCAGCTCCCCCAAGGCACGTCTCGCAGCCTTGGGCCCATCAGCCTTCCACTGTTTTGCCATCACCAGTCATGGGGCCGGGGCCAGAGAAGCAGCCAGTGGGTCCCACGTTCCAGAGCCTTCCTCCCAGAGCTCAGCTGCTGAGGAGATCAGTGACGGAACTGCCTAGTGCTGCTCTGGAGAGCCAGGCCTGGCATCAGCAGGTCTAGCTCCACCTGCACCGTAGTCCTACAGCCTCCTATCCCAGTCCTATGCCATGGCCTTCCCACACCCCAGCTCTGCCGCCGCCCCGCAGTGCCCCCTGCTGGTCTCTGGGAGGGAGGTGAGCCAACACCACCAGCTCTGAGGAGCTGGGCTTCGCTGATGCAGACAGATGAGGATAACCAGTGAAATCCCAGCAGTCCCATTGCCATTGGGGATCCAGGACAGGCTTTGAACCTTGGCCCATGGAGGTAAAAGGCCAGTACCCAACACTGAGTCACCCTTCAACTGCCCTCACACTTAAGAAAACGTGAGTAAACAGCCACCAGCACAAACCAGCTGCGCCCGGAGGAACGAGACAGGCTGGTTCAGCTTGTAGGTCAAGGTCTAGAGAGCAGGGACTTACTGAAATCGTTACTTATTAATTAAAATGGAGAAGCAATTAACCAAATGCCCTGCTCCCAATGCAAAGCTGCCAACAGCTCCCTCAAGAACATCACCCCATGCATGGCTAGCTCCCACCCGTAGCTTTGGCAAGAGTGCCCTGCTCTCCCCCACAGTGCTGGCTCAGGGCGGCAGCAGCGGCCCGAGGAAATCAGAGCCTTAGCTCAGAGATGCACATTTATTTTCAGCCAGGACCTGGCAGGGCTGGACAAATGGCCCCACAATTCCAGCGGGACCACCTGTGCAGAGCAGCTGTGGGCCCCATCCTGCAGGGTCAGCTGCAAGTTCTCCAGTCACATCGCTGACGGATGCTACTTGGTTTGTCCCTCCCCAAACCCAGTGACGGGAGTGGTCCCTCCCAGTCCATGCCTGACCTGCGCTATCAGCCTGCAGTCCAAGGTGCAAGACTGGAGCAGACACTTACATTCAGAACCAGCCCCCTCTATGTCTAGCTAGCAGATCCAACCTGACAGACAGCTCCTTGCCAGCAGACCCACGGGCCCTCCCCCTGCAATGGGAGCTGGGTTAAAGTGTGTGTATCGGGGGTGCCAATCATGGTTCTCCCGGCATGGTCAGCTGCTTAAGGGTCAGATCCCTCCGGTGCAGGAGTGTGAGGGCTTGGAGCAGTCGGGGTGTGAGGGCCTGATAGGGCTCCCAGAGAATCCCACGCTTGCTGCCAAGTGCTTGTCCTTTCCCAGCAACAGCACCCCATGGAGGAGCTCTGGTCTCCCAGGTGCCCGGGTCCATGCAGAAAGGGAGCTACTCAGAGCACAAAAGGAAGCTACTGACTGAACGAGTCTCCTCTGGCTTGGAGGAAACAGTGTAGTGTGATCATGTTGCTGAAGGCAAATAAATACATTAGACAGGGAGGGGACGGGCTTGCAGCCCCCCAGGCATCTTGGGAGCACACAGACAGGCAAGGCAAGGGAGGCAGAAATCCACCGACTTGAGACAGACCATGAGTCACTCAGCAGCATCTGCTTCCATCTGCATAGCACAGGGGGCGATTGCAGGGGTTACTGTGGGGGGAAGAGGGGTGTGGCTAAACATGCCTACAGGAGCATATGAGAACATTCAGCCCCGGAGTTACCCCCCCCCAGGACATGAGGGGACAGTGCACATTCCAGTCCTCCCCAAAGCAGCCTCACAGTCACAGGCTCTGAGCAGTGCGAAGTGTACACGTGACATTGGGAGGGGTGGTTGATACGCTGTGGCATGGGGATGAGCAGATCTGACACCCACCCAGGCCTCCGAGGAGCCTCGGGCAGCAGGCCTTCCCAGCTGATGGCACCTCCAGCCCCAAGAGCCCAGCAGCTGCTCCCTGGCTAGCTGCTGTGGAAGATGCGGATGCGCTGCACGATGTCTTTGCGGCAGAGGGGGCAGATGCGCAGGGTCTCGCAGCATGTTTGGCAGCAGCACACATGGCCACAGTTCAGGAAGATCATCTGGGCCTGCAGGAAGGAGGCAGAGTGGAGATGGGGGTCATACTGCTCCTGCCCATCCACCGCACAGTAGAAAGCCTGGTGCACACAATCACCAGCTAGGCCTTGCAGCACCCTCCAGGTAGAAGAGCAGTGTCACTCCTCTTTTACAGAGGGGAAACTGAGGTACAGAGTGGGGCTGTGAATTGCCCAAGCTCACTCAGTGAGTCCATGGCAGAGCTGGGACTAGAATCCAGGTGTCCTGATCTCTGGTCCCTTTCTCTAAGCACTGCATGTTTCTATTGAAGCAGATCCAGTGTTGGGCCCAGCTTTCACTCTCCTATGTTCCTGAATACACTGAGCAAAGCAGAGCTCGCGAAGCAGAGAGCTCAGGCACCGCCACTCTGGAGAGCTGGGGTTGGACAGAGCTAGTCTGCGGGGATCAGGGCTGTCAGCAACCCCTGCCTGACCCTGTATCTTGCCCTGCCCCATTTTCAGGGATAAACCCAGGTGAAAACTCAAATCTCTCCCCCACCTGCCAGGTGACTCATCCTACTCCCCCATCCTGCTTGTGAGCACCCCTTGGAAGGACACCAAGGTGAGCAGGGTCAGCATCTCCACTCGCTGCTCTTCTCGGCCATCTGTTTGGCAGCCCAGGGCTGGGCTCGCAGACGTGAAGAGGACGCACTGGGCTCTTGGCAAGTGCCGAGGATCAGAAGCAGCTCCCTACAGCAGCCAGCTGTTGAGGCGGGAGGTGGGTGTCGTGTGCCTTCCAGCCTCCACAAAGGGAGAGATGAGAGGGCCCTGCCCTGGGCTAGGCTGCTGAGCCCACCCAGTAGGTCAGCTCCAGGAGCTCCCTGCTGTACACTGCTGCACAGCTGCAGCATTCCAGCCATCAGTCCCTTCACCAGCTCCAGGATCTCACCTCCTGCTCCATGCAGACCACGCACTCAGACTTCCTCTCGTCCAGCTCCAGCTGGGGTGCAGAAGGGAGGATTTCTTCAGGGGGGGCGCTCGGCTCTGGGGCAGAAAGGCCCTTGGTCTCAGTGCTCTTCAGCAGCTCTGCAGTCAGCAGGAGAAAGCATGAGTGCCAGCACTAGCCTCCTCTTAACACCAGCCCCCAGGCCAAGCAGTATATCACGGAGCCCTTCCATCTGAACGGTGGGAGGCTGCAGCAACAACAGGCTCTGCAGCTCCTCCCTGGCCTGCCTCTTCTCCAGCTCCCATTCAGCCCTGCACATTCCCCACTCCCCACTTGGGCTGTCCAGTGCCTGCACAGAGCTGCAGACCTTCAGCCCAGAGGACTAGGAGGCTGCTGGACGCTTATAGAACACGGACATCCAGCAATGAGGCAGAGGAATAAGTTGGTGGTACCTGGGATTGTTTTAGCCACAGCCAGGATCTCCTGGGCTCGCCTGAGGATCGCGCGCTGCAGGCCAGTTTCTGTGATTCCAATCTGCAGCACAAGGAGAGGCCAGTTAGCTCTGAGAGGCCAGGGCTGAGAACAGAGCCCCTGGGGAGGCAGAGCGAGAGGGAGGCCATGTTTCCCCAAGCAGGATACACAGCCTGGGCAAGGCTTGTCGGCTTCATGCCGCAATGCCTTGGGAAGCAGGCGATGCCTTCCTGCGTCTCTACTAGGCCCTGGAGCCAGAACCAAAGCATTTATCGGCATGGGCTAGCAAAAGGCCCGGAGAGCACTCAAGGGAGGATGAAGGTGCCAAGCCAGCTGTACAGATTCCTTCCCAGAAGATGCTGCAGGGGGTGGCTTCTGCACAGCAGCAGCCGTTTGGTAAGGCCCCTGTGTCGGGACAGGCCCTTGGAAGAGCACCCAACTGGATCTGGCACATGGGGCTGCATGAGGCACTCCATCCAGCCTCCCCTTCTCTCCCCCCTGCACACACAACAGTAAGCACAAAACCCAACAGGGCTTCCCTAGGCTGCCCAGGCCCAGGGCCATGGCAGGATCAGCCCCTAGAGTGCAGGGCAGAGGCAGGGAGTGACATTACAGGGGCGTTTGCCATCGTACCTTTGCCAGGTCGCTGAGGGTCATGGTGCTGAGCATTTCCAGTGACAGCCGATGATGGGCAAAGATTGGTACATACTGTTCAGCCGACAGCTCGATTAGCAGGTTTATCAGCTGCCTCTCCAAGCCCTCCTCCTGCAAAAGACAAGGCAAATCCCAGCCATCCCCCGGCCAGGAAGCGTGCAGGGTCAGCCCCTGGTCAGGAAGCGCGCGAGGTCAGCCCCGGGTCGGGGTGAGACCCTGTTCCAAAGCCACATAAGAGGAACAAGCACTGCTCCCAAACCGGCTCTCTAGGCCAACCCCCTGCTCTAGGTAATCGCTGGTTAGAAGCCTTCCTCAGAGGTACGTTTGCTCCCCAAGAGATGCTGGATCCCTGGAAGCACTGCTGCATCTGAGCAGCGTTTGCACCTTTCTAGTTTACCTGCCATGCCCCAAATGTTCCATTTCTGGAAGAGTAAAACCAAGGGTTTGACAGTTCCCATTCTGGCAGGTACCTGCCCTCCCAAAGTGCTTTACAAACTCCAGTCGATATGCAAGCCAACAGGGATCAATTCAGCCATTGCTGAAATCAGCCACCTGAGCCACCACTCCAGCAGCTATGTAACAGTGCACAACACAGGGCAAAAGTTATGGGCAGAAAGTGAAAAGACTCCTGCATTCAACTGAAATTGCAGGGGGATTTGGGGAAGCTGAATGCAGCTACCTGAGCTGAAGTTTGGCTAAGACCAAAAGTCCTATTCTTAAAACAGCTATCAGTGTAATCACCACCAGGAGCTAAAAATTCAGGCTGAGGCCCATACCTCTGGCAGCCCAGCACCCCCAATGCCATGCTGGCTTTGGCTCACTGCAGGCTCCAAGGGAAGAGCATCTCCTCCTGACAGCCGCACTGGGATTTCTGTGGAGATGCTGAGCAGCCACAACCCTGCATAGGGCAGGGAGGTCTAGCAAGGCACCGCACAAGGGGATCAGAGGAAAGCAGATCTGGTAGCATTTCAGCCGTTGTGGTGACACTGCTAATGGAACTGCTCTCCAGCCCTAGCTCCAGCTGAGCACGTGGGCAGGGCAATGGAAAGTGCTTGTTACCGGCTTAGATTTGGGGCAGCGCCTAGTACCATGGCCCCCAGCACTACCGCAATCCCAGCACTACCCCGCAGTGACCTGGAGTTTCAGTGAGAGAGGTTTCTGGTTCAGCAGGCGCTGATACTGGATCAGCCAGTAGTTCTCCTGCTTCGTTTCACTTTTTGCCTCCATCTCCAGCTACAAGAAAAAGAAGGTGAATTAGAACCTGGGCTCTAGGGAGTTTGAATTGCAGAGCCAAAGGGGAAGCCAACAGCACCGTCAGCGTGGAGCAAGCTCAGAGCCACCGATGGTAGCTCACATTGCCATGGAGCGCCAGGGCTGGGACCTTAACGGCCTCCTGGGGCTGGCTCTGCATTGATCCCCACATCCCTCCTCTTGCTCACCCCCAGGATTCTCCATCTCCCTTCCGCCCCCACCCTCCAGGCACCCTTGTCCCACACGCTGGGACCAAACTGTGCTAAGGGGCTGACAGTGGCTATGGCTCGAGAAGATGAAGCACGTTGGCAGGCCACGGATATCGCATAGGGTCTCGGTGTCCTGCTTCCCTCCTCCCTTAGAAACAACCACTGCAATGGTCACCATTGCTCTGGCAGGGAGGGAGTACGCATGATGACCTCTGCCAAACACAGTGTCCACACTGGTCCAGGGACATTAAGAGCCTGATTCAAAGCTCTCCAAAGTCACTGGCAAGGCTCCCATTGACACTAATGGGCCCTATGAGCACAGAATATCACATCCCTCGTCTTGGTCCCCTTTTCTCCCCCATGGCCACCCCCCACATAGCACTGCCTGCTGCTTCTGCTCTACGCAGAGTCATTAACAAGTCCCACCACATACCAGGATTTGTTGCAGTTCCTCTTCCCTTTGCTTCTTCTCCTTGAGCAGCTGCTGCAGCATGTAGCTCAGGGCTCGGCGTTGCTCTGTGATCACCTCCTGCAGCAGAAGCAGAGGCAGCCCTGTCTCCAGACCACATGGAGGCTATGGCAGGGGTGCAGCTGCAGAGCTTTGTCCCTCAGCCACACCCCACAACCTCCAGTGGGCAGAGCATTTATTTTGCTCAAATACTCAACCAAAGTTTTTGAGCCATGTCCAACTGAACCTCAGCAAAGCTGAGCAGACGCCCAATCCCACTTTTGGGGAGATCTCTGCTGGGGGCCAGGGGTCGCTGCCGTGTGCATTAGACCCAGTAATGGCAGTTCCCCCGTTCTCAACATACCGCCCTGCACTTGTCCGTTACCCCAGTCCCGCCACACGCTGTGCAGAGTGACCAGACTCACTGAGGCAGCCCTTCATCCATAATCCACCCGCACACTCCAGTTGGAGACTCTGCCTCGATCTATAGCAACAGGTACATCTGTATTCCCCTTCCTTATCTGCAGCAAGGCAAATACATTAATACATCGCAAACATGATTCTGGGATGTATTAACAGGTGTGTTGTGAGCAAGACACGAGAAGTCATTCTTCCACTCTACTCTGCTCTGGTTAGGCCTCAGCTGGAGTATTGTGTCCAGTTTTGGGCACCACATTTCAAGAAAGATGTGGAGAAATTGGAAAGGGTCCAGAGAAGAGCAACAAGAATGATTAAAGGTCTTGAGAACATGACCTATGAAGGAAGACTGAAAGAATTGGGTTTGTTTAGTTTGGAAAAGAGAAGACTGAGAGGGAACATGATAGCAGTTTTCAGGTATCTAAAAGGGTGTCATAAGGAGAAGGGAGAAAACTTGTTCACCTAAGCCTCTAAGGATAGAACAAGAAGCAATGGGCTTAAACTGCAGCAAGGGAGGTCTAGGTTGGACATTAGGAAAAAGTTCCTAACTGTCAGGGTAGTTAAACACTGGAATAAATTGCCTAGGGAGGTTTTGAAATCTCCATCTCAGGAGATATTTAAGAGTAGGTTAGATAAATGTCTATCAGGGATGGTCTAGACAGTATTTGGTCCTGCCATGCGGGCAGGGGACTGGACTCGATGACCTCTCGAGGTCCCTTCCAGTCCTAGAATCTATGAATCTATGAATGCCACAGAGGCTGAGCTCTGCAAGCCTGCCAGGTACCCAGGTGGGTGGGGACAGGCCTAGGCAACAGCATCTCCATGGCCTTGGAGATGGTTGGACTCCTCGAGATCTCATGAATATCAGATAGAATCAGGTCCCATGGCAGGGGGCTTGTTTGGTTTGATGGAGCTGTATGTCACGGGGCTGGGATTTGATCTTCATTCTGTTGTATGCTGCCCTAAGCTTGTGGCTGTGGGGGGAGGGGAGGATTCTGTAGAGGTGCAGTCCTCATTGTAAACCATTGTCATCAAGGACAGTGATGACAGCAGAACAGCTGGAATACCCCTGGGACATTACAAATCACAGCGCCTCTCGCTGGTCACAACAGGGGTGCAGCTGCAGAGTTTATCCCACTTAGCTCTGTGTTAGTTTGGTGAAACCAACAGAACACTGGATCTGGAAATTTTAGATGGCTGGGACCAAGGTGCCAGCAACATTATTTGGAGGCAAGCCCCCAGAAGAGGCCTGGGGAGCAGAGAGACGCTCTCATCAAGCATGGCCTTGACAGGGCTAAGACACATCGCTGGCAGGAATTTCCTCTGACAGGAACAGGGGCGGGTTCTGATCGCTGCTCTTGCGTAACTCTTGAGGGGATTATGTCTCAACAGAGGATTTAATGACAGAGCCCCTAACCCTGGGTGGTGCAGCAGGAGACTGCAGACAAAATGTGGGCAGCAGCTTCCATGAACGTGGTGGGTGTCTGAGGTCTGTGAAATACCCGCTGACTTCCTCTCTGTCCCAAAGGAAGGCTACTAGGCATGGGACACCAGCCACACAACCCCTCTGTCTTGTGCTGATCTCATTTGGAGAAGACATTTCCCTCGACACAGAACTGTTGTGTTCACGTTTGTTTGTAACTGTTGATTTCTTTCATTTCCACAGAGACACAGATCCAGGCACATGGATTCTGTGAGCAAGAAAGGGCTGGTTTGGAGCACAGAACTGATCAGCTTCCCTGAAGGTCATAAGACAACTACCCTGGAGAAAGCCACCTGGAAAGCTCTGCTGGAAACATACCTCTGTGAGCAATCAGCTCCCATCCCCCTCATGCTGCTTGATCCTCTCCCCATTTGCTCAGGGGACAGGGTAAGTAATAGCTCTGGAGCTTTAGCCACTGATGCATGGCTCAGAAGCAGCAGCTTAGCTCTCACATGACGAATCCAGCCTGGTGCTCCCCTCCCCGCATGGCCAGCTTTCCTTGGCCAGTTATTCAGGCCTTCTCTTAGGTTCCCCACAGCCCCCAGGCATGCCCAATGTACCCACTTCACGGAGGCCCAAGATCAAGCTGCTGCCGGGGAGAACATTCAAACGCAGTACCAATTCAGGAGGTTAGCCCCCTGGAGCACATGTGGCTGGAGTGCAACCACAGAGGTCTCCAATGCTGCTCTCCAGCTACCCTGGTTGGTTGTGGCCTGCACAGACTGCAGCTCGCAGCAGCTGGAAGGGTGCTCAGGCCAGTCACTGTATAATGGGACCTAGCGTCTCTACAGGCAGCACTTTGATACTAAAGAGGGTGGCAGCTGCAGTCTGCTCCACTTGATGCACATCTAGTGCAACGCTTGGGCTTCAGGTGAGTTCCTGCTGCACCCCATTTTGGGCATTGATCCTGCATTAAGGGTTCAAGACAATGCATGAAACTACTGTAGAATCATAGAATATTAGGGTTGGAAGGGACCTCAGGAGGTCACCTAGTCCAACCCCCTGCTCAAAGCAGGGCCAATTCCCAACTAAATCATCCCAGCCAGGGCTTTGTCAAGCCTGACATTAAAAACCTCTAAGGAAGGAGATTCAACCACCTCTCTAGGTAACCTATTCCAGTGCTTCACCACCCTCCTAGTGAAAAAGCTTTTCCTAATATCCAACCTAAACCTCCCCCACTGAAACTTGAGACCATTACTCCTTGTTCTGTCCTCTGGTACCACTGAGAACAGTCTAGATCCATCCTCTTTGGAATCCCCTTTCAGGTAGTTGAAAGCAGCTATCAAATCCCCCCTCATTCTTCTCTTCTGCAGACTAAACAATCCCAGTTCCCTCAGCCTCTCCTCATAAGTCATGTGCTCCAGCCCCCTAATCATTTTTGTTGCCCTTCGCTGGACTCTTTCCAATTTTTCCATGTCCTTCTTGTAGTGTGGGGCCCAAAACTGGACACAGTACTCCAGATGAGGCCTCACCAATGGCAAATAGAGGGGAATGATCACGTCCCTCGATCTGCTGGCAATGCCCCTACTTATACAGCCCAAAATGCCATTGGCCTTCTTGGCAACAAGGGCACACTGTCGACTCATATCCAGCTTCTCGTCCATTGTAACCCCTAGGTCCTTTTCTGCAGAACTGCTGCTTAGCCATTCGGTCCCTAATCTGTAGCAGTGCATGGGATTCTTCCGTCCTAAGTGCAGGACTCTGCACTTGTCCTTGTTGAACCTCATCAGGTTTCTTTTGGCCCAATCCTCTAATTTGTCTAGGTCCCTCTGTATCCTATCCCTACCCTCCAGCGTATCTACCACTCCTCCCAGTTTAGTGTCATCTGCAAACTTGCTGAGAGTGCAGTCCACGGCATCCTCCAAATCATTAATGAAGATATTGAAGAAAACCGGCACCAGGACCGACCCTTGGGGCACTCCGCTTGATACCGGCTGCCAACTAGACATGGAACCATTGATCACTACCCGTTGAGCCCGACGATCTAGCCAGGTTTCTATCCACCTTATAGTCCATTCATCCAGCCCATACTTCTTTAACTTGCCGGCAAGAATACTGTGGGAGATCGTATCAAAAGCTTTGCTAAAGTCAAGGAATAACACGTCCACTGCTTTCCCCTCATCCACAGAGCCAGTTATCTCCTCATAGAAGGCAATTAGGTTAGTCAGGCATGACTTGCTCTTGGTGAATCCATGCTGATTGTGCTATGGGCTTGTTTATAAACACGCTGGCTAATGGGTTACCAGGGGGAATGTGGCTCAGTTGTAGTTTCTAAGCGGTCGGTGCTGAGAGTAGCTAACAGATTAGGGTAAAGACACCATTCCTGACACTTTACCGCCATCCCTGGCACTGCCACAGTTTGCCTATACCCCAGTCCCGTCTCATTCGCTTGACCACAGGACTTCCCACTCTTTCCCCTTGTAGCCGCTGCTTTGCAACTAGCTGTGCCATGATCCTTGGGCTGTGTATCAGGTGCGTAGGGATGTGCCCAGCTTTTAACAATCTACAGTGAGCTATTTGGCAGCCTCCCAGAAGAGAGGAAATTGTGACTGGCTTGCTTCCCCCAGGTATAATGAGCCTGGAGGGTTCCCTGCCACCAGAGGTCAGTTATTGGGATGTTTTATGACTAATTGTATTTACAGTCACACACGCTGAGTAAGTGGCAATCGAATCTCATGCTTCAGGGTGTCAACTGATCAGTGCAGGGTGTACTAAGCAAACTATATTCCTTTGACACATCAGCTATTGGCTACAGATACCAGACTTACTGGATCAGTGACCTGAACTGGCAAATTACCCTGTGGGGTAATTCACATAGCAAGACAATTCCTGCAAAGGCACATGAAAGAAAACTAAAGCTAAGCTGCTTTAACCCAACTTGAGCTCAATACAGCTGGATGAAAACTGCCCTTGGGATGGGAGGCTGGCTGGCAGAGGGGATGCTGTGATGACCTTGGAGACATGGCTTAGAAAGGAGGACGAGAGAGGTGTGGGTCATTTTTGGCAGATATTTAAACAAATTAAAATAAAAAAAAAAAACAATGCAAGAAAACATGAGATGCTTGGAAGATGTGTGCTAGGAGAAGCTCCTGCCCTGCCCAATGAGCCTGCTTCTGCCAAGTTTTCAAACTGAAAATTACTCAAGATCTCCAGGAGCAGCAGCAATGTTTGCAGAAAGCAGCAGGAGAGGGGGAATTTGGGGAACATCCCCTTCTGACTAAGCATGAAACCACCTAGAAACTGCAAAGAGCACAGGAAGTGAGCAGAGCTTCTGAGACCCCAGAGCAAAGGTACAGGGTAGAAGAAGGGGCAGCCCCGGAGCCCTACATACCTGCAGTGTCTCTGTGTCCAGTTCTTGCCTCTTTAACTCCAGCTGTGTCAGCTGCAATAACTCTGTTTCTATTAACTTAATCTAAACAGAAGATGAAACAGTTTTTTACTGACATTTGAAATGACTTTTATTTAGCTGCTTTAGCGCCGGCCTTAACTGCACAGCTGCCCTTGGGGAGACAGGGGGCTGGACTGCGCTTTGGGAAGCCTGTCCTCTCCCTTCGTTCTGTCAATTCTCCAGGGCCAAGTAAACAACCCACAAGCTGCCTTGCACTGCCTGCATGACTGCGCTGCCAGCTACTCATGCTTAGTCTCTTGCCTGATGCTAACTAGCTGTGTTCCACCCCCACACAACAGAAGGCGCTTTATGTGCCTGTCTCTAAGCACCTTCTATCCTATGGCCCTAAAGTGCTTTGCAGTCAGTTGGTTCATTCAAGCCTCTCAGCCAGCCTGGAAAGTAGGGACACATTAACTCTGTGTTAATGCAGCTCCTTAGATTGTAAGCTCCGTGGGGCAGGGCCCACCTCTTTGCTAGGTGTTTGTACAGGGCACCCAACATTTGGGTTCTAGGTGCTACTACAATACAAATAACAGATACTATTGATGGGTAAATTGAGGCACAGAGAGGCAAAGTGACTTGTCCACAATCCCACAGCAAATAAGTGGCAAAGCCAAAAACAGAGCCCAGATCGCTTGTCGCTCAGGCTTGTACTTGAACCATTTTTTTTTTTAAATGGAGATATACCTATCTCATAGAGCTAGAAGGGACCCTGAAAGGTCATCAAGTCCAGCCCCCTGCCTTCACTAGCAGGACCAAGTACTGATTTTGTCCCAGATGCCTAAGTAGCCCTCTCAAGGACTGAACTCACAACCCTGGGTTTAGCAGGCCAATGCTCAAACCACTGAGCTATCCCACCCTATTTTATCTGCTGCCATACATCCCACGACCATCCAGGAAGAACACCCTTGGCATGCAGCTGACTGCTCCAGGGGCATCCTAATACTCCATTAGGTGCACAGCATGCCAATGGAATGCAGGGGAAGTGAAGGCCCAGGAGCGAAGCGTTTAACAGAGAGGTGCCCAGCAGTGAGGCCTGAGGGCCAGACATGACCCAAAGACGCCCTAGGACTGTAGACCAGGATAAGTAGACTGATCATCCACAAGGTTTCTTGTTGCTGGTGAACTCCAGTGACGGAACCTTGCAAGGAAGGTACAAGTTCAAGCAAAAAGCACATTTGTGTGATCTGATCACTGGCGAGGCCTGTGGGCTTCCCACAAGCTGCAAAGACTGGCCCTGTTTAGCTTGTTATAGCAAAGCAAAGCCGTTCAACTTCTCCTCCCCATCTCCTACACCGAGCTCCTTTCCTAGGGTCAGACAGGGGAAAGCCTGGAGCACTCCGCTGAGAAACTGGCCAGGTCCTCTCTGTCGTTTAACCAGAAGGGCATCCTGGTGCCGTGCTCCCCAGAACTGTCTCCACCACCCACCCCCACTAACATGCTTCATCTTTAACAAAATGGAGATCAAACAGCAGGTTGGCAACAGAAACAAATAATAATGAGCTCATGCCGCAATGTGCAAGTCTAATGGTCTGGATGGAGATGCAATGGATTCTTATGGAGACAGCAGCCCCGCTCACTATGCAGCCTGTCACATGGCGGAGGCCTGGCTCCCTCTGGCTCATCCCTAGAAGCCAGTGCAGGATTGCTCTCTATAACCCATTCTCACGTGCTTTGGCTAGTTGAGTTTCAGATGACTCAAGTAATGGGGATTCCACCATTTCCCTTGGATCTATTAGACCTCACCGTCACTCCTCCATGGTGGAGAGAAGTGTTGTTAAATCAAATCAGTGCTGCCTGACACTTTGTGTTACACAGCCCTACAGAAACAGAAGGGTCCTTGGTTTTCCTCAGACTCTGCTCTGCATATGCAGCACCGCAACTTTCCTTGCAATGCTCTCACCACTCAGATGAACAAGCTGAATCTTTGGTTGCTTTTGCTCTGCCAGTGCCAACTCACCTGGTTCCTGATCTGCCGGTGCAAGAGATCCTTCTTCACCTGAAGGGCTTCAAAGGCCGCTTTCTGCATTTCACTCTATGAAACATTACATTCTGCTTAACCCAGGAATGAGGCCCAATCATGGGGACGCAAACACACCAGCAACCCTCAGTACACTGAAATGATCTGATTTACAAACACTTCCCTGGTGCTCACCCCTGCAGAATTTGGGTGCCTCCTCACAATCCCAAGAAATAAAACACAATTGCCCCATTTTACAGTTGGTAAACTGAGGCATGGAGAAATTAAGGCCAAACATTTTCAAAGCAGGTGTTAACAGCTGGGGTCTGATTTTCCAAATGCTATCAGCAATCTGCAATCAGGGAGAGCTGAGGGGGCTTAGCACCTCTGAAAGTCAGGCCCACAGCATCTCCCCTGGGCACCCAGAGTTAGTGGTTGGCTTGAAAACATTGGCCTGTGACTCGCTGTAGGTCACCCAGCCCCAAAACCAGGTCTCCTGCCTCAGTCACCTGACTGTCTTTGCTTCCCATGATCTCCATCACCTGCCCTCCTCTCACAGATGCCTCAAAGCTTCCTGCTGGCTCTTTGGGTAGAAAACAAGTCATTACATAGCTTTCCTTTAGCCACTGCAACCAATTATCCAGATTGCCAGAGATTTCTGCACCTAACTAACTAGTTTTAACAAGGCTTTAGAGCAGCCAATGTGCTTGTTATGCCAGCTCTGTTCCCCACCCCCATTACAACATGCACTTAGCTTCCCTGATCACAAGCCTACCTCCTCCAGGATCTGACTAGTGGCCTTGTTCTGATCCAGCTGTTGCCAAGCCAGGATTTGTTGGAACTTCTGATCCATCTCTGCCAGGCTGCAAGAGATACATAACCAGGGGATTACTACAGGGTCTCAGACTGCAATGCAAATAAGAGGTCAAGCTGGCCATGGAAATGAACTCAGAGAAATCCAAGAATGGGGACTTCCTAAAACAGGAGAGTTTATTACTGAGCATGGGTGGACAGCCAGAGCTCTCATACTGTGACATTACCCTGCACTTGGCAGGTGTGTAAACTCCTTCCCACCAACCAACCCCGGCTGATAAATGAAACAAAAGCAGAGGCACAACTTACTGGTGCACCTGCTGTGAGTGACTCAGTGTCCATGCCCGACAGCTCATAAAACATCAAAGCGTGGGGATCATATTCCCCGGATGTAAAGTGTGGCCTCTGCTCCAAGAGGGGACTTTGTATAAATAGTCCCATGAAGTGCATTGCCTCAGTGATCGCAGAGGAAATGGTCTCAGTTCTCAAGTAAAAAGACATCCCAGTGGGCCATTTGTACTGTCACTGTCAGAGCAGAACTGCGCTGTAAGTGCAACTGATTGACGATCAATGAGAGAACTGCTCTGGCTGCTTTCAAGGGATAAGAACCAACATTCTGATGCTTTTCCTCTCCCCAAAGTGCCCCATGGATTCCAGGCCACGCAGAGGCCCCCAAAGAGCATTGTGCGACTGCATGGCAGTGAAAGTGACTAATCAAAAATGAAATGACTGGTTTCATTTCACCCTCCAAACTGAGTGAAATGTAAGATATAAAATAAATCAGGTTTATACCGTTCTTTCAGTTCTTACTAATCCAGAGCATTAGTAACACTCGTATTACTCGTGTTTAAATGTAAGAGCTCTATCTTGGTGGACCTTTTTGTTCTTCAATTTTTAGTGCTGCTGTGTGCTGTTAAATAGCTGTTGTGCTCCACTCCAGAAATGGCTGCAGAGATCCCTGAGTGTATGTCTCAGAATTGTGCTGGGGCCCTTTGGAATGAAAGGGGTTCTATAAGATTGCTACCAGTCACACTGCTCTCCCTAGGTACCTGGAGCAGGCCTGGTTGACGAGGTCTTGCCTTCGAGATTCGGAGGTCATGTGGATGAGCTTGTTCTTGTAGCTCTCAGCCAGCATTTGTTGCATGGCAGCTGGGAGACACAAAGAGGAGTGATTAGCGCTAGAAGCAGGTTAACTCTGTGTCCAGCATCGTTCCTGCTCCCCACTCAGCTACAAGAACATGATAAAATTGGGGTCCCCCCTCCAATTTTTATTCCATTCCTGTTTCCATGTAAAGCTGCACCCTCCCAATGGGCAACCACTAATCAGGGCTTGATGAGAGGCCAGCCAGGAGAGTGCCCTGTGGAGTCTGCTCTACACAGACAACACGCTCTCAGCCTCTGCAGGGCACCACCCCAGTTTCAGCTCTGCAGGAGCAGAGTCACAAACTAGTGGTCTCACTGGGCTGCAGGTCTGATCTCCCTGCTGCAGCCTGGGGCCTCCACCCAGCTGCTGAAGGAGAGAGAACTAGAGAGATGGGTGAAAACTTTGCCATCCCACCAAGGCAGGTTTAAGTCACTGCTTTGAGGGTTGAAATACCCACGAATAGGTGCTGAGGCAGGAGACTGGCTCGGAGATAGCTTCAGCACAGATGTCTCTGTCGCAGCAGGGCACACGCTTGCTCCTGCACACACACATTTTAATCCCAGCAGCAAATGCCGGCAGCATAGGTGAGACGTGTGTCTTTGTGTAACGAGCGCACACACTGGGCTGCTTTCCAAACTTCAAAATCAGTTTCTTCCCGCTCCTATACGGCACAGCTGGCTCAGCTGGATCCAGGCAGCACCCCCCACCCCCCCCCCCCCCAGGGTACAGTATTTACCCGTGGTAACATTTATGCAGGTCTGAGCCCTGCCTCATTCACCTGGCTGGTTGCCAGTTGTAGCTGGTTTGAAGGTACAACGTGCTATGTGTGTGCTGGGGATTGATCCCTTGCCAGATCTCTCACTGCTCCAGCCATGGCAGTGGCCAGAGGGATGTGACTCCCTTGGGATTAGTGGTGCAGTGCAGGAAGGTAATGGACGAGCTGCCATCCAGGGACCCAGTGCTAGCTACACACCTGCTCACACCACTATTTCAGGCAAGCTATAGCAGTAAGAGTCATGTGTAGCCAGGAGCCACTCCTAGGAGGATACGGCCCTCTCTCTCCTGTTCCCCCAGAGAATATGGCCCTCACAGACCCCCCCCCCCCCCCCCCGAGGATACGGCCCCCCCCCCCCCCCCCCCATCCCCCAGATGACCACCACAACTCCCTTCCCTTGGACTTACAGGCCACTTCCCTTCTGCGTAGCTGCTCTGTCTCCTCTTGCGTTATTGCCATCAGCTGGTCCATCCTTATTCTAAGAAAGAAGCAGGTCCATTCAACCACTGCTTCTGCCAGAGCCACCTTTCACCCTTGCCAGCCAGCCATGCCCTCTCCACCCTCCTCAAAGCTGCACCCTGGGCTTGAATGGCTGAGTGATTCCATCCGGTCACTCATCCGTGTGAGCGAGAGATGCCAGGAGGAGACCTGCAGAGGCTCAGGAATCTCCAGCCGCAGACAGGACGCTGCCTGTCCACTGGGGAGGGTGCCTACGTTGCTCCCAGCATGACCGAACCAGAGGGCATTGCCAGCAGGCTGGCTGCCTTTGGGAAAACCCAAGGGAGTAAGAAATAAGTGAAACAAAATAACTTCTATGAAACCTCTATTCCTCTCCCTAAATGGTGAGCCCCTCCTTTTGCTTCCTGTTCTCTGGGGTCCCCCCATATACACCTCCCTAGCCTCTAGAGTGCCAAGGACTCTGTATCTCTGCCTTGCTACGCACATCAATGGCACTGCATAAACAACAAGGATGGTGGTGATCGATGGCCCCAAAGTGCTCAACCCAACAGCGCGGCACCTTCCTGGAAACCCTCTGCCCTACAACAGCCAGCAGATGTAGCTGGGTCCTCTGACCCACATTTAGCACTTCAGGAGATTGCAGGGACCTCCTCTTTGTGGGGGAGAGGAGAGGTCAATTTTCTCATTGGAATTACAGACTGGAGCCATCTAGCTTGGTATCAGGTCTCTGACAGCACCCAAAGCACATGCCTCAGAGGAAGGTGCAAGGAATCTTGCAGCAGGCAGACAAGGGATAATCTGCCCCCACATTACATCTCATCCTGATCCTGAAGAGTGAAACACCGTTTCCTTGCCCTTCCCATACTGTTAGCTGTAACAACCGTGGGTATTCTGGTTATCCACAGCAATGTTCACAGCCTGGTTAGTCCCTGAACTCTCTGCTGAGCCTGCCAGCACCCGGGCCAATTATTGCCAACCGTGGATCTGGTTCTTGTGGTGTGGACTCCTGCTTCACCAGGAACCAGGCCGAGACCCAACAAACTCATTGTACACAGGCCACCCAATGGCTGCCAGATGCAAACAACTTTCTATCCCTGCTGACTTGAGCTGGATTCAGAATCATGGCCTAGAAGTGAACGAGTCCATCCCTCCATCCCAGCCGCTCGCCCTTGCCCAGAGGAGCCTGTCCTAGGCAGGGCACTTACCTTTCGTTCTCCAGGGATTTCAAAATTTCTGAACTTTGTTTCTGCCTAGAAAAATAAAGCAGAAGGTTTTTATTGCAGAGCAGGGCACCCCTCTCCCCAGGGAGTGGAGTCCTCCCTGAGCAAGCCACATGCCACTACCACCAGTCCACTGGCTTGGCCACTGTCCCTGCCTCTGTGCTGGTGGAGCTGTCAGCTGCAGCCAGGGTGCAGTCCTGCTACATGGGGGCAGGAGCTATGTGAGCTCCCCCCCCCCCCCCCAGGGCACAGGCATCAGTGGAAAAGGCAAGGGGCTGGGGGACACTGCCTCTGGGTAGATCTTCCCATCCTCGCCCTCACGGGGGAGCCACTGGGAGGCCAACCCCATGATGGGAGGAGTGGGGGTGGAGCAGGATTCCTTCCTTGTACCTATTTTCCAAGGGCTTGGGCTAGGCGCTGGCCAGAGGATTTACCCCTTGGAGCATGGAGGAGCTTGGCAGCCTTCCTTGCCGTTGGCAGCCTCATCATATAACTCCATACACCACACACACTAGCTGGTGTTCCCCTCTCCTGCAAAGCAAGAGGACACACAGTTCCTGGGGTACAGCACCTCTGCAACATTTCCCTCCCCTCAGTATCTGGGCTCAGGTCAGCACCAATCCGTCTGCAGCTCTGTGCCGAGCAGATTCAGGACAGGCAGTGGGAGCTGGGACACCCAGGGTGCAGCAGCTTCCACCACAGCCCAAACTCCTCTGTTCAGTTATTTGCACCAGGAATTCTGGGCTGAAAGTTTAGGTTTGTCCCCCGTTTGCCAAACACATGTGATCATGCCGCCCTCCAGTGACCAGCCCCAGTGACAACAGCCTGTGGCTGATTCGCACCTAACAAATTTCAGAGTTCAGACTTGGGGCGGCAGGACCATTTTGGTCATTCAGTCGGACCTCCAAAAACTTCGCTAAAGCCAGAGAAGAAGCAAAGACTAGCAGGGCTTGGAAGTGAAACCAAAGCTCAGGTCCCCATGAGGTGTCTTAAGCCCAAGGCCAGCTCTTTGGGGACAAGGCATAGAGACACCATGTAACTGTGTCCACACTAGAGGCTTATATCCATAGAAAGTAGGACATCTTGGATGTATGGACAAGGCCTTAGGCACACTGGCTAGTTTTGCCCACAGTCTGTACCAGGACGGCTGTGATAGAATGTGCCTCCAAACAAGGATTTGCAGCACGGAGGGTTTCCCTTGGGGTTGTTCTCCAGCCTCACCCCTGCCCTGCCACAGCATCACAGGGATTCACCCTCACTGCTATAATACTATATGGAGATATAATACTATCTCCTAGAACTGGAAGGGACCCTGAAAGGTCATCAAGTCTAGCCCCCTCCCTTCACTAGCAGGGCCAACTACTGATTTTTCCCCAGATCCCTAAGTGGCCCCCTCAAGGATTGAACTCTCAACCCTGGGTTTAGCAGGCCAATGCTCAAACCACTGAGCTATCCCTCCGCACCCCATTCAGTCATTTCTGTGCTGCTTGGGGAGTTTGACTATGGAAAAACCTCAGCGAAATGGACAGGTCACAAGCAGCAGGTCAGCGCAAAACGGGACACAGAGAAATAAATGTGCAGAGGGGCAGCGCTGACGGCAAGGTGTCCAGGGAGGAGGCCAACCTCCGATTCTCCTCCAGAAGCTTCTGAATTCGGCTGGCAATGCCCTGCTCCGTTTGCTTCAGTTGCTCCAGCAGCTTCAGGTGCTCTCCCTCCAGGTTGCGCTGATGCTTTGTCAGACCTTTCTCCAGCCTCACCTGCTCCTGTGGCAAGGGGAAAAGGGAAACTAGCCAAAGAGAGAAGTGACAACTCTGCTGAGCTGTGCCCACAGCCCGTGAGAATCGCTGAGGATGGTGTTTTATTACAAGGAGCTGAAAGGTTCCAAGAGGGTGGACAGGGAACCTATCCAGAGCTTACACCGACACTGACAGCATCACGTGAAAGCTAGAGACACTAGAAAGAGCAGAGACATGCTAGGTCACCTCTAGGCCAGTGCAGGACTGTCCCTGCAGTCCCTGAAAGGCCCTCTGGAGAATCAAAAGGAGAGGAGAAACTGGGAATAAAAATGACAGAGAGCTGAGAGGAGAGCCCTGTCAGTGCTGCCTCTGGGGGCCCCTCTGCATGGGTGGGGCCCACATGTCGATACATGAAATGCCTGTTCTGAAAGGGAGCAGGTGGGCAAGGGTCAAGTCTGTCCAGAGCAGGACAGATGGACAGCCCTGATCAAATGTACTCCTCAGCCACAGGCTGGGTGCCAGAGCCTGGGCCCCAGCTGATGTACCTTCCTCACAGTCTGCAGAATCTCCTCCTTCTGACTGCTGCTCTGCTGAAGAAGCTGAGCATGCTCCCTCTGCCCCACGTCCAGGCGACGCTCGAACTCCAGCTTCTCCAGCATCTTCTCTTCCTGGCAAAGGAGCGAGAAGCAGAGTGAGGGTCGGGATCGGCAGCCTGCAGGCTATTCCACTATTCAAACCAAGACCCAGGCTGTTGAAAACAGTATCAGGGCAATGAGATCCCAACTGTACGTCCAGGTTAAACCAGCCAGGGAGCTGGAGTGCTCAACTAGAAAAATCCAGTGATTCCTACACAGGAATCCAAACAGCATCAAGAGGAAACTGCTGTTCCAGCTGCCTTGCTACCAACATTTCAGCATGGTCAGAAAGTCATTTCACTCAGTGAGCTCACCCTCTCCCCCAGCCCCACAACACGCTGTATGGAAGAAAGAGATGCAGCAAGGTACTGTTAGCCTCTGGAAGGCCAGGGAAATCCCCAGGAGCTTCAGAACGCCAGCGGAGAAGGCCGTCAGCAACAGAGTGAGCCAGTCAGAAAGTCTGAGCTGAGGGAGGGGGACTGGGTGACACACAGAGTGAGTGCAGAACATTCATGGTGTCGGCCTAGCAGCGAGGACAGGCAGAGGTTAAGGAGAGGGGCAGGAAATAAAGTGAGATTTCACTGGGAAAAATGCAGCCAGTCAATGCATCGGGGGAAAGAATCCCAGAGCCAGAGGCTTAATGAGAGGTGGAAGCCAGAGGCGCAGTAATGTCAGTCCTGGGGTGACAACTGACAGCAAATCAGCACTCTGGCTGCAGAAAAGATCACTGACATTTTAGCTGCATGTGCAAAGGAGTGGAGCAGCAACAAGGGCTCTCGCTACAGCTGCAGGTCTGGCTTGGAGGTGCACTGGAAGAGCTATATGGTAGGAGGGAGCGGGTCAGGAACAACATCTGCTGTGGGGCAGTACTGAGGTACCTTGGCAGAATGGGGCCCAGGGCTGGAGTAGCAGGGGGCTGTAGGTCAGGACGTGGGTGCTCTGGCACAGCTGTGTGTGGATACGTGTGGATCTAGCCAGGCACCAAAACTCCTGAAGCTTAGAGAGTCGAAAAGAAGTGATGAAAGGGTTGGGAGGGCTTCAGAAAGCATAAGCACTAGAAGCAGCCCTGCTTCTTCCACATGGAGATGGACACATGCTTAACCTGAACTGGGACTTCTCACGCAAATATATGCCACGGCTGCCAAAACAAACTGATCTGAAAGGTAAACAACTAGTGCGTGTCAGGCAATTCCTGCCTTCAGAGTCAGATGTGGAGTGTGTGTTCTGATGCCTCTCTCACTCAGAGAGCGGGGGGTTGCAGAGCTCCGGGTTTCAAGGCATTCAGTGCTGGTTTGCTCAACTGAACAGAAAGAGAAATGAGCACACTCAGAACTCCCAGAAAAGGCCTCTGCAGGGACTCTTCCTTACCTTCCTCTTCTCATAATCCAAGAATTTGTTCTGAAAAGTAAATGAAATCATTAAGAGAGAGGTATTTAAATCAGGGGAACCACATTCTCTAGGTAATGTTAGGGCACTCCGTTCCCTCTTCCTCGACTGAGGTTATGTCTACACTACCACTTAATCAGTATAACTTATGTCACTCAGGGCTGTGAGTACTCTCCCCCCGAGTGGCATAAGTTATACCGATGTAAGTACCGGTATGGACCGCGCTATGTCGGCAGGAGAGCTTCTCCCACCAACACAGCTACTGCTGCTTGTTGGAGGTGGCTTAATTATAGAGCGGCTACCCTGGAGATTTTACAGCGGCGCCACTGTAAGCTCTCTAGTGTAGACATGGCCTAAGGCCTTGTCTACACTTGTTAGGTTGACATAGCTACAGTGTTTCACACTTGTGAACTCTGTAGCTATACCGACCTAACCCCTGGGGTAGATGCAGCTAGGTTGATGGCAGAATGCTTCTGTTCACCTAGCTACTGCCGCTCGGGGGTGTGGATTACCTACAGACAGAAAAACCCTTTGTCGCTGTAGGAGGAAGCAGCATAGCTGCTGCTGTAGTGCAGACATGACCTGACAATCTGTTAAATCTGATTAAAGAGGAAATGGTTCGACCCACAGTCACTGTTCTCAGAGCGCGCTGCCCCTGCCCAGCCACACTTGGGAGAAGTGCCCATCCCAGCCAGGTGCCACTGAGATTCAGAACCTGGTGGAAAGCAGCATGCTCTGGGGCCACTGAAGATTCAGGGCCAAGCCTGTAAAGGGTGCCTCAGTTCCCTCTACCAGTGCCCGGGACCAGATTCTCTTCTCACACTGGTGTAAGTCAGGAATAACTCCATGTCCGTGAAAGGAGCCACACTTGGTGCAAAGGAGGAAATTCAGACTCTGAGTCCCAGAAGAGCCCAACTCCACGGAAGAGGTGGGCAAGGGCTGTGAACATGCAGAGCTCCCCATCAATAAACCGGGGATAACGAGGCTCATCCCCCTTTGTAAAGAGACTGGCAATCTAAGGATGCAGATATACGATAGGGAAGCTTAGCATCATTGTTACATTTGTACAACTTGCAGCCGAGCAGCTGCAATGTCGGGATTGCAGATGGGGGAAATACAAATACAAACAAATCTCTTCATCATTACAAAAAAATAAACAAATATGAGGGTTTTACAGCTACCTACTTTCACGCAGTAGATTTCCCAGCTAAGCTCCCAGAGGGAACCTGTAACTGAAAAGATATCTAGCCCTACCCTAATAGCTAAAGCTGGTCCAATGAAAAAGCTCTTCTCCACACAGCCCTGTACAGGGCTGACCCTGCATGCCCCATACTACACCTCTACCCCGACATAACGCAACCCGATATAACACGAATTCTGATATAACGCGGTAAAGCAGCGCTCCAGGGGGGCGGGGCTGTGCACTCCGGTGGATCAAAGCAAGTTCGATATAACACGGTTTCACCTATAACGCGGTAAGATTTTTTGGCTCCCGAGGACAGCGTTATATCGAGATAGAGGTGTATGTCTAGAAATCTGGGTCCTCAGTTTGCAGTACTGTGGCCCATCTAAAGCCAATGCCAATTAGTTACCATGGAAGGGTTTGAGATGTTAGAGACAGAAGCTGATAGGCCAGATTCTGCTCTCATGTAAATCTGTTGACCACAAGCAGTGATTCTGGATTTACACAGTGGTAAACTGGGCCTAATTAGGCACGTTGGCCTCAAATGAGAAGCAAGCAGCGGGGCATGCTGGTTTGTATACAATACCCCAAGTGAGGAAAGGGTTCAAATAAAACACAGTAGGGCTTACAGGAGAAGGATTCTCAACAGATCTCCCAGCACACTTGTCATGTGGCATCCGTAGCTAATCAGTATCAAACTGAGACCTACAGAGCTGACTCCACACTTCCTGGGTGGAGCTGCAGGACTTCCCATTCTAAAGCCTGACCTTTGAATGGGAAAGTCGCCTATATGGAGCCTTAATGCTTCCACTGATGCCCCTTGGAGAAGACTCAGAATTTCCCAGTATTGCAATGCCAGGCCACACATCGCATTACACTCTGCGCGTCCCTCTAGCTATCCTGCCTCCTTGCTTTCAAGATGCTGACCTAAAATGAAGGTAGTGCAGGAAAATACTAACATGAATATGTATAATGTGCTCTATGCAACTGGCTTCCAGTGCGCTTTGAACACCCTGAGCAGCAGGGCCGTGGTGATGGAGCTGTGTTCCAGGGCATCAGGGCTCCGCCACCGACTCACTCCATGACCTGAGTGACTCCGTTTAGCCAAAGGATGTAAGGATGATGCTTCCATACCTCCCAGGGGTGAGAGATCCTGAGGCTTAGTGAGCTAAGGGCATGGAAATCCACAGATGGAAGGTGCTGCAGAAGTGCAAAGTGCCAGTATTCTGCTCTGTATGTGGCTGAGATCCTCACCTGCCACTCGCTCTCTTCCTCCATGTATTTATGCACACGTCTGTCGACACCATCCACTGATGTTTCTCCTCCATCACTTTCCAGCACCGGAAGAAGATACTGGGAGGGAGGGCAGTATTTGATTCCCGACTCTGGAAGACACCAGACACTAGGCAAATCACACAGAGCCACCCAGTTACACAACATGTGGGTCAGGGCTGGCCCAGGGAGACTCTGCTTCCAATCACGGTCTCTCACTCCCCACCCTGGTAGAGTGCCTGAAGGAGCTCGCTGATCCCTGGTGCCAGCTAGGAGCTGGCAATGGCAGGCTCTGAAGGAAGTGCTGCGGCTTTGTTCTCACCTAGGAAGATGGCGGCTGTGATGAATGGTCTCAAGCACTGGGGTGGGAGGAGCATTAGTGTCCCCTTCTCCTTAGGGACAAACAAGGCTACTCAGAGTCACCAGACCCACTTCGACTGGGCTGCATGGGGATCAGCCGAGGGGGAGATTGCGCCCAGTTGGAATTACAGTAATTTTACAGTTCTGACTCTTGCCCTGATCGCTCTTATCGCAGGGAGTTCAGCTGAAAGTCTGACTCCATTTAGCACCCCCCATATTGGCTATATAGCTTACACACACAAGCAGCACTTCCTCCCTCGCCCTCTTCTCCCCTAGCAGGCTTAAGTGTTTGTGTTTTAATACCAGTCCCTTGTCCTTCTCCCAGGGCCTCCAAGCCCTTTGTGAAATAAACCTGACATCCTCCCATGAGGAAGAGAAGTCACATTGTCCCCATTTTATGGATGAGAAAGAGAAGATGCAGAGACCGTGGTTTGTCCACAGTCACACAGTCAGTAACACATCCTGGAATAGCTCTCCAGACTCCATGCACCTAGATCTCTCCTGGGCTCAGGACAGACCACTACAGAGTCCTTGGGCAGGTGTAAAAAGGCAAAAGGGTTTTATCGGGCTGTCGCCCCTTTCAGGTGGGGCAATACCTGCAGCCACCTGCTTCTGCAACTGCAGGTGAGTCATCAGTAGCAAATCAGAACAGTCCTGCATCGGGCCCACCTTTCCCCGGGAAGGGTCTGGCAGCCAGCTGTCTCTCAAGCAGTCTGCAGCCCCAGCCAGGCGCCTCTTTCAGAGTGAGAGCTGGAAGCCTGTTCTCCGTCCCAGTCAGCCCCCACTGAGCTGTGCTGTTCCCCTGGTAACCCTCCCTCCAAGACTGACACCTATTGCAGGTGGAGTGGGGCAGGGCTGACTGAGCCCACAGCAGCTCATTACCCTTTCCTCGCCAGTGTGGAGTCAGCATATGCCATCCCATTCCCATGCCTATGCTTTAACCACAAGACCAACCTTGCCCCTTTCAGAAATTGGTCATTGTTAGGATATAGATATTCAGGCCTGTCTGTAAAGGCCTTTACTTTAAGAATTTAGGTGTATTCTTATCACTTAGTTAGTTATAGAAGTATAAAAGAAAGAATCAAAATCACTTTCTGTATGTGTAAGAGCCTTCTCTCACTGTAACAGTCTGAGGCCTGGTTCTTAGGCTAAGGCCTTCGGCTAAGCAGCAGAGGCAGCCATAAACTGGGAAATGTATGGTCACATCCTCACATTCCAAACTAGTCACATGGAAATAAGGTGCTATTGGGCTGTTAGGAATACAATCCTGTTCTGATATTCCTATCACCTCCAGAGAAAGGGAAGAGCCTAGAAGATATAAAAGGAAACTTAGGTTGATAGTTTTCTGTCTGGTAAGAACTCACTTATCAATAGACAGCTGGAAAATGCTTATGTCTGTATAGATATAGTTGTGAAATCCTCACTTCTGTATCAGAGGGGTCGCCGTGTTAGTCTGAATCTGTAAAAAGCAACAGAGGGTCCTGTGGCACCTTTAAGACTAACAGAAGTATTGGGAGCATAAGCTTTCGTGGGTAAGAACCTCACTTCTTCAGATGCATCTTTAGTCTTAAAGGTGCCACAGGACCCTCTGTTGCTTTTCACTTCTGTATCGTTTTGTATGTTTATTTGCGTGGTCTCTGTCTGGTTCTGTAATTGTTTCTGTCTGTTGTATAATTAATTTTGCTGGGTGTAAACTAATTAAGGTAGTGGGATATAATTGGTTAGCTAATCATGTTACAATATGTTAGGATTGGTTAGGTAAATTTTAGTAGAATGATTGGTTAAGGTATAGCTAAAAATATTACTATATAAATTAGGGGCAAACAGGAAGTAAGTTGGGATTCGAAAATAAGGAAAAAGGAACTTGGATTTAAGCTTGCTGGAAGTTCACCCCAATAAACATCGAATTGTTTGCACCTTCGGACTTTGGGTATTGTTGCTCTCTGTTCATGCGAGAAGGACCAGGGAAGTGTGAGAGTGAAGGAATAAGCTCTCTGAGAGTGAAGGAATAAGCTCTCTGAGAGTGAAGGAATAAGCTCTCTAACAGTCATCAATTTCAAAAAGCCAGTAAGAAGTCAATACCCAGCCCGTAGCTCATACTCTGGCTGTCTGCCAGCTACGGCTTACATGCTGTCTAATGTATCCGCCACATGAGCAAAACACCAATCAAGAGCTCCCTGAGGTACCAGGTACAGCTCATGAAGTACCAACCCCCTTTGGAACATCACGCCTTCACAGACACATTCCTGGAACTCAGGACAAGACCCGACTGGCATTTAGCTGCAGGTATGCTGTGCAGCAGACCCTTGACCTTTCACCCCCATCTACAGGCTGCTCCCCTTGCTTACCTTTGCACAGGAACTGCTGGACAGACTCTGTGCCAGCACTGCAAACATCATATGGCGGGTAGGTCATGGACGAAGCATCCAGTGTCAGAGTCTCCAAAACAAAGAGCACACAGAGCTCCAGCTTTCATTCACAATCTAACAACCCAGACAGAGTCCCACTGGCTCAAAGCCAGGGGGTCAAAGCAGCAGAAAAGGACAGTTTCACCCTAGAGATTGATCTGCCCGACTTTCATTACACCTCACTATAACTGAATGGCAAAATGCTTCTGCACTAGCAGGTATCACCCGCAGCCAGCGTGATCTCACATGCACTGTGCACAGAGGATGCCATTCTGTAGAGAAAAAATGGTATCATCCGCACAGGTAGTGTGTGTTCCAGCTCTGCTGCAACTGTGTTTGTCACCAGGGACAAGTAACTGAGTCACCATATCCGGGGTCCTCTCACTGCCTCGGGGATCCTTGCAGTTGCCGGATTATGGGTGCCTAACGCTGCCATTTGTATGTAGGGGTTGCATACCTCCAGCGTGCGGATGTGAGCCAGCGCCTGGGGCAATTCCTGCAGCAGGTTCTCACTGACATCAAGGGTGCGCAAGCTGCGCAGGTCACCCAGGGTAGAAGGCAGTTTCTTCAGCTTATTACCTAGGGAGAAAAGGGACGCTGATTAGTCCACCCCCCAAATCGACCCTCCAGAGAATTCACTCCTTTGAATTGCAAGCCCCTCAGCTGCCAGCTAGTTTAGTATTTTCAATACACTGACTTGAGATTACACTAGTCTTTGAATAAAAATCACTTTGTCCCTACATTATGTACCATACATGAGGGGATCTCAAAACGTGGTGCAAGCTCAGCACATTTTAACACAGAGACCAATGTAGATGCCTCCCTCATAGTCAAGATCGCTCGCCAGCAATGCCACATAACATCGCTGAGGTCACTACAGCAGTTGCTTCCCTGGGAAGGTCACAGTGGGACACAGCCAGCTGGAAGCCAACACCATGTGACCAGCCAGCCCCTTACAAAAGATATAGGGAAGATGGTCCCTGGCCTAAGAGGTTGACTAGCTACAATCCAGAACAAAAATGTACCAGGTTAAGGACTCAGTGGATTGAGTGTGAGGGGCTTTGTGGAGAGGCAGGGTTTGACCACTAAGCAGAGGGAAGGGACTCCAGGCTTAAGGGGCAACATGAAAGGAACAAAAGTGAAAGTGGGAGAAAAACGCACAAAGGGAATTCAGGAGGCAGGAGGGGAGCTGGAGGAAGGGGTGGAGCTGGTCAGGGCCTGGCAGGTGAGGAGGAGAACAGGACACTGGAGGGGAGTGGAAGCCAATTGAGGGATTCCAAGAGGAGAAGTTCCCAGGGCTGAGCAGCTAGGAGAGAGGGATTTTGGCAGCAGTGTCCAGACTGGAGAGGAGCCAGATGAGGTGCGGGGGGCAGGGCAGTGAGAATGTCACCTTATGGATAAGAGCAGGGGAGAGGCTGGGGCATAGAGACTGTGGACAGCCACAAATGACAAGACTTGCCAACAGCCATGATGGGGGCAAGGAACCTAATGTGACAGCGAGGGCACATGGGGAACAGATGGGGAGGAAGCCAGGAGCAGGCACAAATGCCCCCAGCCCCTGACAGAGGTATTAACATTTAAAGGGACAGTACACCGAGAAAAGTTAGCCTTTCCAAACAGCTAAACTGCTGTTCTTGGTCATTTGACTGAAATCAGCCCTGCCAGCTACCTAGTTCAGAGTGAGACCTAGTCTTTGGGCTTGTGGGACCTCTTGGTTCCAGACTGTTTATTAAACTACACAAACTGTACACACACTCTGGTATGGTTAATGCTTTGTTAGATGCCTTAGCTGGCCACAGCCAGCTAGGTCATCAGGGCCTATCCTGACAGCCCCAGCCTGAGGCTTACCAAATCAGCTATTCCTAAGCACTACAATGTGCTGGGCAGTTCAGCACGCACAGAACCTCCTTCCTTAGTCACATTAGGATCTGCGGGCAGCGATTGATCCAGCAGCGGTCGATTTATCGCGTCTAGACCGCTGAGCGCTCTCCCGTCGACTCCGGTACTCCACCAGAACGAGAAGCACAAGCAGAGTCGACGGGAGAGCATCAGCTGTCGACTTACCGCAGTGAAGACACCACGGTAAGTAGATCTAAGTACGTCGACTTCAGCTACGCTATTCACGTAGCTGAAGTTGCATTTCTTAGCTCGACCCCACGCGGTAGTGTAGACAAGCCCTTACTGAGACATTGAGTCTGTGGGTACATCTCTGCAAAGGGTGAGGGTCTCAGAGTCCAGGCTCCAGCCCGAGTGGGAACATCTACACTGCTAGCTTTAGCCCTGCAGTATCAGCCTGAGTCAGTGGACCCAGGCGCTGAGACTTGCTGCCATGGGGGTTTTTGCAGTGTAGATGTACCTTAAGAGAACTACACGCGGTGCTGGAACATCTTAACTCCACTGCAAAGACATGGGATGGGAGGGAAGGATACTGATTATTGGCCTGTGCATCTAAGGGGAAAGAGGCCAGGGTTTCAGCTGAACACAGCAATTACCTAAGCTCCCACACACTCCAGTCCAGTCCCTGCTTCACAATGTTCCCTTTATCAGAGTGTTCTCGTGGGTTCTCCTAAGCCTGTGCTGCTCTGTAGGGACATTGGCCCACTGTGGCCAAAGCAGAGATACAGGCCTGGCGAATCCAGGAGGATTATTTGGCTGCTGAGTTCTGGTGGGCCTACCTTAAAGCTTGGCTAGTGCAAGCTATTTCCAGGCAGCTACTTCTGCTTGTTACAACACCTGACCTACCCCTCTGCTGCTGCACACCCCTCTCATTACCTTGCATATATATATGCATATATATATATACATAGTGTCAGAGACAGGTTTTCTGAGAGATTTCTATATTTATAGCCCCTCACTTCTCTTGTTGCCAGAAATTAGTCTCACAGCACAGAGTCTAGCTCTTCCCATCCCCCACAACACCACACCAAAAGCATTGTCACAACTAAACTAAAATGGGGGTATTTCAATAGCCTACAGCAGATCTGCCAATCCTACTGCTTCCTTGCCCTTTCTACCAGCCTAGCAGAAAACTGAACCAACCTAGCGCCTGGTTCAGAGCACGGGGATTTCATAGGAGATCACGGAGCAAGAGGTGCATCAGCGTGTTTGAGAAACAACCCCAGCACTCAAATATTTAAGAGTTATCTTCTGTTTGCCTGACTTCTCCTGTCATGTCCACCATCTGTATTAAGAGTCGCTACATGCGCTCCCAAAACATAGCACTAAGTAGAGAAGAGTTTTGTGCCTGAATTTAAGCAAAGGAAATTTCCACACAAAAACTTTGTTAACAAAGGGTTGAGGTGTCAGTGGGCTTTGTACATCAGTAACAAGCCCACAAAATAGAGGAAATGACTGGTTAAGGTGGCATGTGATCTACACCCCCCCTCCCTGAGAGATCACTAGTACCCCACCCAGCATACACAGCATTCCCACTCCACTGCCCTCTAGTCCTCTTCCTCTGGCCTAGCACCACTGGCATCTGCAGAGACAAAGTCACCAGGCAGAAAGAGATTACTTTGGTTCTCTGACTGTATTTCCCTCCACAGATGCAGGCTGCCCTGCTCTCCTCCCCTCTATGCTTGGGAGATTCAAGGGATATATAATCTAAACCAGGTGCCCAAAGTGCAGCCATAGGGCAAAATATAGACTGGGGAGCTCTAAAATGCAGTTGCCCATTGCTCTCTCCCTATAACTACTGGTCTGAGCAGGCACAGGACCAGTATTTTGAATTGCTGGAGAGCTTGAACAAGCAACAGTTTCTGATCATCTAACGAGGAAGATACAAGGACAAGCAAGAACCATGGGTGTGAGAGTTCAATACGGTTTTAAAACATGTAAATTACATGCAAATTAAGAGTTGGGAAGTTGTTATTGATGCTCTCCTGGTGGCCAGCCTTAGAAAAGTTTGCCATACCTTTCACATTGAGGGTCTGGAGCTGGGCGAGGTCCCCTATAGACCGTGGAAGAGATTTTAAGAGATTCCTTTCAATGTTTAGGACCTAGGATATTAAGAGAGAGAAGATATTCAAGCGATTCATTCTGTAAGCCTCAGAACCTCTGCTTGCTTATGCTGTGTCTGAGTGCCCATGAGCCCAATGGGTTTAAGAACAACTGTTCGGGTAACAAAGCTCTTGGAAAGAGCCATTGGCCAATCACTCAGGGAGACTTGGGAGTCTGCAGCTGACCAGAAGACAAGAGCACAGTTTTGGCCTAGCTGGGAAGAGCTGTTCTTGGAAGCTCCCACTGAGTCACTTTAAGAGGATTTGTCAATTTGCAGTCCCTAAGGCCATGTCTACATGGACAGCATTGTAGTGGTGCAACTGTACCGATATAGCTGCGCCGCTGCAGCACATCTGGTGAAGACATTCTATGCCGACGGGAGAGAGCTCCGCGAGCATCATAAGCTATATTGGTAAGAGAAGTTCTCTCACTGACATAGTGCTGTGCATACAAACACTTATGTTGGTGTAACTTATGTCGCTCGGAGGTGTGTGGAATATTCACACCGTGGAGCAACATACATTTTGCCGACGCACAGGCTGTAGTGTAGACATGGCCTAAGGGTCTGGCTTTGCTAGTAAGAGACCCTGCAGAGCTGTCCTTTAGGAGCAAGACCCAGAGCATGTCCATTTACTCAGAACAATGGTGATCCCCATTCATTGGTGAAAGTAGAACACAGAACTGAGTTCAGGTGCAGCAGGTGGAAAACAGGCTGACCTTCTGCCATGGCTAAATGCCCACCTTTTCCCTTTGTTTGCACAGAAAAATAAGCCAGATATGATCAGATGAGTGCTATATACTGACACATAGGCTGAGGACCCAGTAACCCATAACAGTCTATGGCTGTCCCAGACTCCTCGGAGTTACTCTTGGGGGAATTCTGTGCTAGCTGTTTTGGTGCCACAGCGGCCTCTGCTGGGCAAAGGCAGAACTGCAGTACTTCTGGGACAGAAATGTATTTTCTGCTGAAAAAAAAAAAAATTCAGCAGGACACATGACTTCTGCACATGCATAATAGAGCAGAATTCCCTGAGGAGTATTAGGATCGAGGACAGGGGTAGTCAATTTTTTTGTGTCAAGGTCTAAATTTCTTGGCCAGGGTATAGTCAAGGTCCAGACTCCAGAGAAACATTTTTCACACCACAAGTGCCCCTGTTCAACACATACAATGCTGTGTAATATACCCAGGGCCTATATTGCTAGTGCACTGTATAACCTAAAAATAACCTCCAGGAAAGATGTAATAAATTAGATCTGAGACTTTGAGAAAATACATCGATAAAATGTCAGATGCAAATATTAGCATTAAAACATTTTCAGACAATTGTTTTAAGTTTGAATTTGTTTTGAGTTTACAAGGAGTATTAACTTTGGTTTGTCAAATAAAATTATTGTAGGCATATAACCCCGCCGATTACCCCCTGTGACATTGTGCAGTCTATATGGTTTTATAAAAATATAGTAATGAGTGAATATAATGTAACTGGAATATGCTTCATGAAAAAGGTCTCTTGTAAGGTATCATTACAAAGCTTATAATCTACTGAGTGTGATCATCCTATTTGTATAAATGTACCACTCTTGTATCTGGGACTAGAAATATGAAATATAACTCTGAGGGCCTATTGTAATTATGCAAAGTGTGGGCCATTAATGGTGGTTTGGAATCTTAATGGCTCCCATCAACCAGGACAATTGACTGGGGCTCTGTTTGCTAGCAAGCCTTTCAGTGAGTCAGGCTGGGAGGAATGAAGGCTTGGGGTCTTACAGTGACATGTGATTATGTCACATGAACTGGAATCCATCTTTAACCTGGTGCTTTTCCAGTGAGGGGGGGTGGAAACCCAGAGAGAGACAAAGGATTCCCGCCTTTTGCAAAAGATGTATAAAGGGGTGGAAGAGAACAAAGAGAGAGAGCCATCATGAAGAATCCCCTAGCTACCACCTGAGCTGGAACAAGAGCTGTACCAGGGGTAAGAATTGTGCCCGGGCCTGGAAGGTGTCCAGTCTGAGGAAAAAACTTACTGAAGCATCTCCGAGGGTGAGATTATCTGTATTCAGTTTGATTAGACATAGATTTGCGCATTTTATTTTATTTTGCTTGGTGACTTACTTTGTTCTGTCTGTTACTACTTGGAACCCACTTAAATCCTACTTTCTGTGTTTAATAAAATCACTTTTTACTTATTAATTAACTCAGAGTATGTATTAATACCTGGGGGAGCAAACAACTGTGCATATCCCTCTATCAGTGTTATAGAGGGCGAACAATTTATGAGTTTACCCTGCATAAGCTTTATACAGGGTAAAACGGATTTATTTGGGTTTAGACCCCATTGGGAGCTGGGCATCTGAGTGTTAAAGACAGGAACACTTCTGTTAGCTGCTTTCAGGTAAACCTGCAGCTTTGGGGCAAGTAATTCAGACCCTGGGTCTGTGTTGGAGCAGACGGGAATGTCTCTATAATATCTGGCTCAGCAAGACAGGGTGCTGGAGTCCTGAGCTGGCAGGGAAAACAGGAGCAGAGGTAGTCTTGGCACATCAGGTGGCAGCTCCCAGGGGGTTTCTGTGATCCAACCCGTCACACTCCCCACCAGCTCCTCTCCCCTTACCGCCCCCAACTGACCACACCCAGCTTATGGTTACCATATTTCAAGTTCCCAAAAACAAGACATTGACAGAAGGGGAGGGGAAGCTGGGGGTACAGTTGGGGGTGCTGGAGGGAATATTTGGGGCAATGAGGGAGGAGTGTGTGTACTGGGAGGAGGTAACTGGGGGGTGCTGGAGGGGTGTGTACTAAGAGGGGATATTTAGGGGTGCAGGAGGGGTGGGTGCACTGGGAGGGAGAATTTGGGGGTGCTGGAGGAGTTGCCTGGTGGGGTCGGTGTACTGGGAGAGGATTTGGGGAGGTGCTGAAGGGAGTATTTGTGGGGGTACAAGAGGGCTGTGTGTATGGGAGGGGGCATTTGGGGGTGTTGAAGAGGGGGTGTGTACTGGGAGATGGTATTTGAGGGGTGCTGGAGGGAGTTCCTGGGGGGTTCTGGAGGGTCTGTATACTGGGAGGGGGCTTTTGCGGGGTGCTGGAGGAAGTATTTGGGGCGTGCTGGAAGGGGCACCTGGGGCCTCACTCTCAAGGTGGGGGGCAGAGTTGCTCCATGCCATGGTGTCAGGGTGGCTGGTGCAGGCCTGGGACTCAGTGCCGGCCCATCAGTCAGCGCTTCCCTGCCTCTCCCCTTCTCCAGGGTGGGGAGCTGGGGCCTGGCTCTGAGGCCCCGTGGTGGGGCAGGTGACCTGGCTGAGAGATGCGTGGCAGCTGCGCTGACCTGGTGGGCTGGGTGACCCAGCTCCCCACAAGTCCCCAGATCGCCCGCCAGGTCCCCGCCCAGAGAGGCTCCCACTGCCCCACTCACTGAGCCCAGATGCCAGCGCCTGCTCATTCACCCATATGGCCCACTCGCTCCATCCCTGTGCTGCTGCCAGCTGGTGGAGGATGGAGCTGGTGAGGCTGCAGCTGCACCAAGCAGCCGCCTGGAGACACATTGTGCCCAGCAGCCTGGCCCAGCCACCCACCCCTCCCCATGGATCCTGCCCTGCTTGGCTTCAGCCAATTTGACTTTTACAGTCCACGCAAAAGTGTCTGGATTTGGCCCATGGTCTGCCTATTGACTACCCCGGTCTAGGGGCATGAAACCCAGCTGAACTCTCTATCAAAGCTGCTGTAATCAGAATTAATTTTGTTGGTTTATTCATATTTTATATGGCATCTCGCAATAATGGAACTAAGTCCACATACCAGGCAGAGGGACCTAAAGATCAGCTAGTAACTTCCAAGAGGGCCGGTCTATCATCGTTAGCATCTAAAGATTAATTAGTCACTGCTTAGTCTATTTTTCAGGAGACACTGCAACCATTATTCCCTGCCTGGGACTACTGTGGGATCTCAGTGTTTACTAGGGGGAGGCTCTTATCTAGCCCCCCAGTCAAAGCATGGAAAAAAGTCCCATCCCCCCTCAGACTGGCAGATGCTGATTTATTTCTTCCCCATCTGGAACATATTTCCCAGCCTCCATTGCTAGAGCACCACCTTCCCAACAGAAGGGCAGAGCATACAACCCAATCAGAGCATGCTGCTGAGGTCTCAGTTAGTTTGTTCACATAACGGTCCAATCCTGCCCTACCCACGGAGACAATCTCCCTCCTCCACAATGCACAGCTTCTCATGGTCTATGGAACAGGGCTCCCAAAGTCACTGCTGAGGGCAGGTCTCTCACAGGCTGCACAGGACATGTGCCCCCTCCATATTATGTACAATACACACATACTTTAAGTCTTGTAATGCTCTTCCTCATTTCTCAGGAGACAAGATCCCTGTGCTCCAGTGGGTTCTCATCGTGGAATGTCCGGTAACTTCCTAGAGCAATGCTCTCTGCAGCAAGAGCGCAGAGCAGGAGGGAAGGACTAGTCTCTTTCTCCAGTGGCAACAGGACATCAGAGTTACAATAGGCACACCGGGACTGTCGCTCCCAACACATTCATTGTGGGGGAGGGATAGCTCAGTAGTTTGAGCATTGGCCTGCTAAACCCAGGATTGTGAGTTCAATCCTTGAGGGGGCCATTTAGGGATCTGGGGCAAAAATCTGTCTGGGGATTGGTCCTGCTTTGAGCAGGGGGTTGGACTAGATGATCTCCTGAGGTCCCTTCCAACCCTGATCTTCTATGATTCTCTATGAATAGGAGCTGCAGAACCTGAGTATTTCAGAAAGGCAATAGGACTGGAAACTTCTGCTTCTGGCACATACTTGATGACCTGGTTTGCTAGCCGTTGCCCTAGCCTGAAGGCCAATTATAGCAGAGTGGTGTAAACTGGCACCAAGAAATGTGACGCACCTGCTATGCCCCATACTGCCATTTTCACTGCGATTAGCCTGGCTCTTGGGGAAAGCGATAAGGATCCAAGCCACTGACAACTATCATTTAAAATACTAGTTAGCTATTTAATAGCAATACAAATCAACCACGCTGCCCTAGAACAGATCCTAAAGCAGGCACCCAGGACACAACCCACAAACCCTTTACCTGGAGATATGTCAGCTGGCCAATATCATCAGGAAGCGATGTCAGCTGGTTGTCATGGAGATCTAAAACCTAGGACAGGAGGAGAAGATTCCATCTCAACCAAGCTTGTGGTGAGGTGTCACATTATAAGCATGAAAGGAGAGCAGTTACCCAGCAGTGAAAGTCAGTCTGCCAGGCTGCAACTTTCAAAGGGCCCTAAGAACATCAGGCATCCATTTCCTATTGACTTCCAATAGGAGTTGGGCACCTAACCCCTATCAGTGATCCATTGTTCTCCATGTCCAGCGAAGGAAGGACAAGAAGTAACCTGGACTCAGGTTGGACCAAGGGAGACTTAGGTTAGATATTAAGAAAAGCTTTCTAACTCTACAGATAGTTCAGCACTGGAACAGGTCACCCAGGGAGCTTGTGGGGAATCCCTGTCACTGGAGGCTTTTAAGAACAGGTTGGACCAAAAGCTGTGAGGGATGATCTAGGTTTACTTGGTCCTGCCTCAGTGCAGGGGGCTGGACTTGATGAACTCTCCCGATTCCGTCCAGCCCTGCATTTCTATGACTAAGAAAAACCCAGCCTCTGCAAACAAATGGATTCACGGTAGTGCCAGTGACAGGAGCTCAACAGCCACCAGATGGTAAAAACTTCCTGCCACTGCCTCCCGGGGATGAAACTGAAGAGATGAGCTCAGTGAAGAAGCCTTTGCACCTCGCTGCCACTCCCTAGAGGCGAGAATCAGTTTGATGGGTAGGGGGTTTATTTGGTTTACTCTGCAGAACAGAGACACTGTTACAGGGTCACAGGTTACCTTCACAGTTATGAGATTCAGGAGACTGCAGGACTTTGGAACCAGAGATGTTAGATGATTTGTATGAACAATCAGCACCTGAAAAGAAAAATAACATTGGAATAACATCACAGGAGATATTATAGCCTGAACAACCACATCCCCGTGGATTTCATTCTGTATTCAATTATTTTATTTCTGTAAGGGGTTCAGACCTGATTAGATTAAATATTAAATAAAATATTTATTTGCATGAGTGGAACTGGCTGCCACAGGAGGCCAGAGTCAGATATCACAGCTGGATTTAAATAGGGTCTGGATAATTTTCTGATCAATAATACTTGAGGTCATGCAAGCTAAGACAGCAGGAGATTTGATTCATTCTAAGTTAACTCCTGTAGGGGCTCAGCAAGAATTCCTACACATATTCTCCTGTGAAACAGAGGCCCATTAGTGATTCACTACTCTCTGACAGCAACTCCTATCAGGCTTGACAAACTCACTACACCTAACATACTGCTATCATAGTATTTGTCTGTAAAGAAGGTCATGTGAGGTATTACATGAAAGCTTATAGCAGCAGTCCCCAAATGGGGGACCCCAAAGCAGTCAGGAACGGGGCCGTAGGTCAGGGGGAGGGATGTGAACAGGGGTAAAGGGGCCAAGGCTGGGGCTGCAGCCAGGGGTGAGTCTGGGGCTGGGAGTGGGGCCGCAGCCCGGCTGTGGTGGGGGTGCTGAGGTTGGGGACTGGTGCGGGGTCAGGAGTGGAGCCACACCTAGGCTGGGGCCAGGGACGCCTGGGGGCGGGAGCAGAGCAGAGCTGGGGGCGGGGAGGGGCTGGGTGGCATTCCCTCCCTGCCCCCATGGCAGCTGGCCTGGGCCCCACAGCACCCCCCGGATGTTCCTCCATGCCCCCATGGGGGGCACGCCCCACACTTTGGGGACCTCTGGCTTTATGGTATACTGGTCATCGTAGGCGTTGTGAGATGTATATATGGGTGGTAACTAAGAAGTTGTATGTATGTGTGTGACGTTATTAATATAATCTGGGACCATATAGATCATTGTTGCAACCAAAGTCCTGTAGTGGCACCAAATCTTGTATAAAGGGGGTCAAATGAGGTGTCTAAGACAAGGTTATGGTTTGCTGGTTATGATTATGCTCTCTATATGTGTGTATCAATTTTGTAGTTGAAGTTGTGAATATTGGCTCTATACTGTCTGTATTTCAAACTTATGCTATGCTTCTGGGAAACTTCCCAGACAAGTTGGTGTTAGCTCTGCCTAGCCTGCCTGATGGCCCATTAAGGACCATCAGCTATGCAATTGACCCACTGAGAGAAGGCAAATACGCCTTGCAACTCAGCAAAGTATGCAGGGACTGGCCCATGTGACTCCAGACTCCATTTTGCTGTAATTTTCCACAGTAAGGACAAAGAGATGTTCTTACACCTGGAAAAGACTATAAAAGGCTGATGCCTCTCCTCCATCTTGTCTTCAGTCCTGCTTCTTACCTCTGGAGGGACTTTGCTACAAACAGAAGCTCTGAACAAAGGACTGATGACCCATCCCAGCTGGGATGTATTCCAGAGACTTGATTTTGAACCTGCAGTTTATTTCATCACTGCTACAAGCCTGAACCAAGAACTTTGCCATTACTGTATGTAATTGATTCCATTTAACCAATTCTAGCTCTCATCTCTATCTTTTTCCTTTTATGAATAAACCTTTAGATTTTAGATTCTAAAGGATTGGCAACAGCGTGATTTGTGGGTAAGATCTAATTTGTATATTGACCTGGGTCTGGGGCTTGGTCCTTTGGGATCGAGAGAACCTTTTTTCTTTTATTGGGGTATTGGTTTTCATAACCATTTGTCCCCATAACGAGTGGCACTGGTGGTGATACTGGGAAACTGGAGTGTCTAAGGGAATTGCTTGTGTGACTTGTGGTTAGCCAGTGGGGTGAGACCAAAGTCCTCTTAGTCTGGCTGGTTTGGTTTGCCTTAGAGATGGAAAAACCCCAGCCTTGGGCTGTAACTGCCCTGTTTAGGCAATTTGTCCTGAATTGGCACTCTCAGTTGGGTCCCGCCAGAACCAGCATCGTTACAATGTGCTACAAATGTGTTCAAACGACATGACCAGGCAGGGCTGATGAACAAGTTTGTCGCAGACAGGAATGTTGGTTTACATCAGAGACCTTGGCAGGCAGGTAAATCAAGCAATGCAAAAGCCAACATGATGGGAGCTGCATTTGCATGCAAGTCAACAGGAAAAGCCAGGCTGACCGGGGAAGCGGAGAGTATGAAATCAGCCTGGGAAAGCACTGGAGACTAAAACCACCGGGGGGTTGTCTTGTCTCTGGGGTCAAAACAATGAATTTTGGGGAAATATAAGGAGAAGCAAAAAGACATTTTGTTATCCATGCCCCTGGCAGAGGGGAGTGATTCGTGACCATTATGGATCCTGGTTTTGACTGAAAACCAGCAAGCTCTGCAGACAGATTTTGAGGGTAAGAAAACTGCTTTAGCCAAAGGACTGTAGCCTGCTAAAGTTATGTTTAGTCTCTTAGAAGTGTGTGATATTTTTGTTTTTATTTTTAATGAATTCTGTTTCCATTACCTTTATGCAACATCACTTAAATCTTTCTCTTTGTTAATAAATTTATCTTGATTTTATCATAAGTACATCTCAGTGCTGTAATATTAAGCAAAGTGTGAATCCTTAGTTGAATCAAACAGGCTGGTGTGTGCAGTGTCCCTTTGGAGATAGCGAACTTGGTAATTTCTGTGAGTGTCCAGTGACAGGGACTGGATACTGCAGGGAATGCCTTCAAGAGGGATTGGAGTGCACCTAAAGTTAACTGGCAAGGTAAAGCAAGGCTGGCAGAGCTTCTGAGTAGATTGTTTGACTAGAGTGATAGGGAACTGACACCACGT